TCCCACATCTTCCTTCCCACCTTGTAAGATTCACTGATGTAGCCTTGCACTTTGTTTACAAATCAGCTGAGACGCAGCCTCCTTAGTGGTGGCTCCTACATGGTAGAAATCCATTTCTTAGCCAAACTCTAAGAAGGGAGTCTTTCTAATCCAGCAGTGGCCAGCTGGATGCTTTTAGGGATTCCATACCCCAGGGCTATTCTTGAAGATGGTTGGGAAGCTGCAACTCATGCAGAATGTAGCTGTCATGTCGTTATGCACGGCAGCAAGATAGAGATAATACACCACTGGTACTTAAAGCCCTGAAGAGCTCAAGACTCAAGTATTTAAAGGAACACTTTCCTCAGTACTTGCCACCAAGAAGATGCTCCAAGCTTATCAAGGGAGGACCTGCTCATGGTCCCCCTGACAGGTATGGCCTGCGGGGTGGTGACACAAAGTAAGACCTTTGTGGTGGCAGCAGTGCCTCAGTTGTGAATTCCCTTCCTGTGGAGATCAGTTGTCTCTCCTGTTATTCTCATCCATAGCTGGAGTGGCGCTCAATAGTCTTAAGTATCACCGTCTGCTGAACTTTATGAACTTGGCTAACTCTCTAAAGCTATCTGAGGTCGTAACCATCACCATATCTTAAACATTTCTCACCATCCCCATTCTCTACAGCCTGCTGGCTTATATATAGCTGTCTGCATTTATTATTTTTAAGATAGTGTTGCATTTTATTTGTTGATGTTTTCAGTTCCTTTTTGTTAGTTTCTGGTATTTAACTTTTTGAATGCTGCTTTGCATATAATTCTTCTATTAAAAGCGGGCTAAGAAATCCAGTGGTTTTTTTTTAAGGGACATGTTTCACTTCAGCAGTATAAACAAGCCCAAGTTTATAAAAAGCTGCATCTCTCTCTAAACGTGATTCTTTGGCCAATGAAGTTGGGGCTTTTGTGCTCAAGCGGAGAAAAAAAAAGACAAGGCTCTGGGACTTGCCCAGAACAGGAGCTGAGCAAGGGCCCACCCCACTTGACACAGTTCTCGAGGGACAGTAAGAAGTCAAACAACTGGGAAGGCAGCAGGCACTGCTAATTTTAATTCTGAACTCATCTCTGCAAAGGCTAAAGGAACTTAGGGTAGCCAAGTAGTTTAACATTTACGTAGTTTCTTTCCCCAAAACAAGAAACAAATATTGTGGTGTTAGTAGCTGGAGCCTTTCTACAATGCACCTACTTCAACATCTCCCTCCACCACCCCCAGTTCACAGTGCGGGGAACCAAGTCCTACCATGGAACAAGACCATGGCTTGCGAGTCTGCAGAGTCACATGATTACACAGAAAAACTGAGAAGAAGAGAGTCAGGTATTGTGAATTCTAGAGTAGATTCTCAAACTGTTGGATGACATGCTAAATACATGTATATCAGTACAAGTCACAAAGCAAAATTCCACAAGGCAGGACAAAAGTACCAGGATTCACATAACACTCTGCAGAGTGCTACAGAAATACAACCCCAGCACACTGCTGTATGTGGAATTAGCATAAATATTATCTAATCTGTCCGCTCAACTCCTGTGCTCATTTCTACATATTTCGAAACCCACCAAGCCCAATGCAGCTCTCTTGCAACCTATTGTGGGTTGCCTGGAATGATTGTTTACTCTCTCATCACATTTGGTGGTAGGCAGCAGAACCAGGAGTATGACTGTGGCTCCAAGGTGCCACCATAAATGGCTGGTGATCTGTGTTTTGCTCGGCAGGTCGTAAGTTTGGCAAGTATGCTCAAGTCTATGACACCGCTTTCACCTCTTTATATCCATGAACTAGAAACTTATTTCGGAGAAAAAGAAAGGGCTCCCAGGTGACAAATGCCAAGGTTTGTCACCATGCAGCAAACACATGGTTGTGTGAAAAAATAAGCTGGGGAAATTGATGGACAACTGATATCAGCACCTATGAGGCTGCCAACGAAGTACCAACAGACATACATGACACCTTCTCTGGTGCCTGGAGGTTCCCTTCTCTCCCCACCTGTGAAATCAGCCTTGAAAGACCTATTTTACTATAGCCAATAGAGGAGATTGCAGGCGTGGAGGTACCTGCAAGTTTCTCTGGTTGAAATGGGCCCCAAAAGGTTGGCAAACCCTGTGCTCCAGAAGCAACTTCTATCCTTATACAATCTACAAGATTGCACTAGCATCCTTCTCATATCCTCTTCCTCCCACCCAAAGCCTTACATAATTTCATCTCCAGTCTATGAGCCCCAATAGTACCTTTAGCATGCTCCTACCCACGTGCTCAACAAATTCTAGTCTGCTTCATAGCTCCTCCATAAACTAGTGCAGAGTTCCCAGTGAACCCACCTTGGTCTCCTGCCTGCTCCCCCAAATACTCTTAATATACCCTAATCCTCATTCTCCTGCTCCCAATCTGCACCCCACATCCCTATTCCCACCCCTCTTCTTCCAAGCCCCTTGTAGCATTTGTGTTTTCCACTTTTCGACACTTGAGATGTACAGTATACACTTGAGATGTACAGTATATTTTTATGACCAACCTTCCTTTTGTAATTTCGAACTGGTTTTTTTATATTAAAAAGTTTCATGTTTTTGTTGCATGTTAATGTTATGCTTTCATATTAATGTTGTGTTTTAATAGTTGTAACCTGCCCTGGAAACTTAGTATTTATTACTATAATAATTTGTTGACTGCCCTTCACCCTATTTCCTCTCCACTCTCCCCCCTCGGTAATCTGCCTCACAGGAACAAGCCTACTCCCCACAACAACAGCATCACCTCCTCTCTATGGGGTGTTTTGGCCCTTTCCCCTTCACATGACCTCTTCACCCCAATAGGAGTCCATCCCCATTGTAATCAACTCTCTCCTAAACCTTATAACATAGACACCACCCCCGACCACACATACACATACATACAGCACCCTCTCGAGGCCAGCTGCTTCTGTTTTTAGTCCCACCAGGGGGGGAAAAGGCGAGGTATAAATAAATTAATAAAATATCGTGGGCCCTTCCCCCAACTCTGAACACACCACACATACCTGCTCCCCTCCCCACAAACGAATCTCGGGGGCTCTTCGTGTCCCTAAACATCAGCTCCCGCTTTCATCACGCACCTTGCACCCCCACCCCACGAGCCCCCATAGAGGGTGCCTAGGCCCCTCCTCCTTTCATAGGCCCCGCCCCGCGCCCCTCACTCACCTCCTGGCGGCGGTTGGGCGTCCGCCGTCCCGTCCCCCGAGGAGCCACTCTCTTCCTGGCCCCAGGCAGCGGCCCCTACCCCAGCGCGCCCCCTAGCAGGCTGCCTCGCGCTCCCCCACACTCCGGCTCTGCCTCCTCGGCTTCTCCTCACGGTGTCCGGGCGAAGCCCTCGGGCCAAGGGGCGGGGCCTCTCGGCCACCCGCCCGAGAGCCAGTCACCGAGCGGCAATCGTCCCTCGCGCTCCAGCCCCCATCTTACTTCCTGGCTAAGCGAGGAATCCTGGCCGGCTTCATCTTACTCCGCTTGCGCTCGCCTCGCTGCCAGTGACAAAGATGGAAGCGGCGGGACGGCGGGGCAGACGGAAGGGGGCGCACGACGAATTAAGAGCGCATGGAGGCGGAAAGGAGGAGCATGGAGTTTCGAAATACTAGAGTGGTACTTCCGGTGAAGGACACGGCGATTCTCTAGGGTTTATAGTAGTTATTTTGAATTTGCGCTTTTCAGATTCGAGTAGGTTTTCTGACATCCGGATATTTTGGGACCTTATATCCCCCCCCCCCCACTGTGAAGGCGCTGCCTTTATTTAGCCAACAAAATTGTCACAAAACACCACATAAATATATAGGGTTAAAATACTCTATAATCCACCCATCCTTGAAAATGGGTTCAGGGTTCCAATAATCTTCCTTTAAACCCAGGGCCGGTTTTTTTTTCCGGGGGGGGGGGGAAGGTGCCAGTACTCACCATGAAGTTGTTATAGTAAGTGCCACACTTTAAACTTTTTTTAAAAAAAGGTGCTGGTACGGTGTGCTCTTGAGTACCCCCAGAATAAAAGCACTGCTTAAACCAATTTTTTTAAAAGTGAAGGGCCACATGGCCTCTGCAGCAATTTACACCATGTTGGAATCAAACAATGGTGCTACATATGGTAGAAATTGCCCAAGGGCTTTTCATGGCACAGAATGTTGATGGTCCTGGTGTTTTTGTTCTTGCTTTTAGCGTGCTTGTAAAGTGCGAGGAAGAACTCTTTAGATAGGTACAAGCCGAAGAACCATAGAACAGTGGTAGACCAGACAACCCCAGGTTTAAGCCCTGACATCTCAAGGTTGGACTGGGAATGCCCCTTATCTGATACCCTAAGACAGCCACTGCTAGTCAGTGTTGACAATACTGAGCTAGATCCAGTGGCCCATTCTCAGTATAAAGCAGCTTGCCCTGTTTTAAAGCACACACTAAAAGACACAGAAAGACCTTCCAAACACCTCCCACCCACCCAATTCTGTTTTTAAAATAATTTTCAGTAGGCAAAGCATGGAGCTATGGTACCTCTCCCACCTACCAAATATCTCAAGCCCATTATAGAAGGACCCAAGATCACCTGAGCCATAATGCAGCACAGGCTCTGTCAAAAAGGAAAACTGGGATCCACCTCCACTGTAATAATGCATGGGGTCCATGTTTAAGGAACCTTGCACAGAAGTGATCATACCCCATTGGTCAGGCCTGTCAGTATCCCATTCTGCCACTCTCAACATCTTCCTGGTGTAAATAGGTTGGGCTGCTCCTTCTACATGGGAAATCTACCTTAAGATCTGCCTCCCTCAAATCAGGCCCATTCTTCTGTAGCCTTCCTTTCTCTGGCAGTCTTCTGGGATGAATTACATCTAGGCTGTTGCATCTCAGTGTGAAAGCATTGAGCAAGGCCAAATAAACAGCCCTGACCCAACTATCACACCCAACACTGGCCTTCACGCCAAACTGGACAGCTCTGTAGATCAGAGATGGGCAAGGGGAGTCTGTCTTCTAAATTTTGGTAAGCATTTCTTACCAAAGAGAGAAACTTATAGATTTGGCTGTGAGTATGGGGACCCTTCCCAGGATCCTGTCTATGGAGGTAGGGATGGGAACCTGAAAGCGTAGGAAGGATTTGGCCAGTTGTGTGGTGCTAGGTCCTGCATTTACATGGCATTGTACAGACAGAACTAGGTGGGAAAGAAATGCAACCAGAGGTAACACCCTGTTTTCTGGTGGCATTTTGTAATAGCATCACAGTTGTGACAATACTTTTGTTCTTGCTAGGTTGCCTGTGTGAGCTGGTGAGATCGCGAAAGGTTGTTCCCTGCAACAGCTGGTGAGGAATCAGGTAGGCCAGGCTAGATCTCCTCTGCTGCCACGGCTCCTCTGGAGTCATCCTTGTTTAGCAGGCCCAAGTCCAAGCAGTTTTTGTCAGCCCTTTTAGCCTGAACAGAGCACGTAGACATAGTAGGTGTTGGAGCTGTCAGCAGTTTTCTGGCAAGGTCCACTTGCAGAATGCTCTGGCTGCCATTGAACAGGGCTTTCTCTTGCTTGGGTGTTTCCTTGGCTTGGAGGGGGCTCCTGCACCCCTGTACTTTGCTTTTCACTTTCACTGTGTCTGGGTAGCAGAAGAAAACCACGGCCACTACGGCAATCAAGGTGATTGGCCTTGAGGAGGCTCTGCTCTTCCCACTGCTGCGCATGCACGAAAGGCCTGAGTTTCCGGCCTCAACATCTTGCTTAAAGTTACTCTTTCCTGCCATGCTGGAAAATAGTAAGAAGCAGGGATAGAGTAATCTGTCTTTGGGTCTTTCCAATCTTAGGGTCCATATGAAAATTAATATGGCTCCAAGTGCATTTTGCCTAACATTAAAATGTTTTTATGCAATTGTCTGAAACATGTGCATTTTTGCAAAAATGACCCTACTTATTATTACTATTATTATTTATTGAATTTATATCCCGCCCTATACCCAGAGGTCTCAGGGCAGTACTTTAAGGCATTGCATTATTTCCACTGATATAAGCATTTTTGTGCAGTTTGAAAAACTGCAAAATCTGGAGAAGTGTGCGTTTTGAAAGATGGCTTTCAACTTACATTGTGAACTGATGTGCACATAAGGTAGGTTTGCATTAAAATGTGAAACAAACCAACCAACCCCCCCATCCTACTAATATATTCACCCTTTCATCTGCTATGTGCTTTCACAGACTTGTCTCTAGCCTGCAAATACCCACCTTTTGTATTTGTTATTCCAGTTATCACTGCATTTCCTTCCATCCCAGGCACAGTAAGGATCTCGTGCTAAAATGCAGTCAGGACAGGTTTTGTGAATGCCACAGTTGGCCAATGGGACTTGTACAATTCCTTTGGAATACCCCACATAAAGGATCCCCTAAGAATGCACAAACAGAAATATTTTGTTACTACAGTATTAGGAGGGCGGGAGAAAGGAAGACCTTCCTTACATTGTGTATAATTAACTTGTAGGACTTATTGCCATAAGGTGCAGCGATGGGCCCTGGCCTTAAAAACTATCTAAAATATAGTTAAATAAAAATGCCAGTGCCTCATTCACCCCAAATAATAGCCACGGATTGAGAGTTGTGCTTGTGATAATTTGATTGCCTGCAAAGTTTCTTTATGTTCTGGTTTTATATTTAATTGTGGCTCTCCAGGGTTTCACTCTTTTTCCAGTTGAGGATTGAACCTGGGACCTTCTACACATGAAGCATCTGCTCGACTACTGAGCTGTGGCCCTTCTCCTTAAAATAAAGTACGGTTCTAGTTCATGTGGTCTTGAATAAAGAACAAGTTTAAGTAAGAAACTGCCTTATCCCACATCAAACTACAGGGTTCATCTAGCTCCTTGTTGCCTAGCAGCTTTCCAGGGTTTCAGACAGGAAACGTTCTTGAGACTCAGCCTGTAAACTAATGTAAGGTTACTAGATTTTTTTCAATGAATCCGGGGACACTCTTCAACTTCAACGGATTTTGTATGGGGGCTGATTTGTAAATCCGGGGACCATCCCCGGGAAACGTCTGGTAACCTTAAGCTAAGGCCCTTTTACAAACTTGCAGCTGCTGTTCCTATCCAACAGAGTCTGCCCACCTTTTCAGGCGAGAGCAGCAGGTTCTGGACTGCCTCTGGCTTCTCAAACAGCTGGATCTCCTCAATGATGTGAGCATCGCTGCCGACGACCACCACTTTGTGAATGGCTCCCTGGTCTGTGGAAAACCAAGCAAAGATATGGAGTCTGAAGTTTGATATGGTAGTAGCAGAACAGTTTGTTGAAACCCCGGGCCTGTCACTATCAAGTGGGTGGGAGCTGAGGTTTTCCCTCTTGTGCAGTCCATCCTCACTTAAGAACCCAAGAAGAGCCTACTTGATTGGGCTAATGGCCCATCTAGTCCAGCATCCTCTTCTCACAGTGACCAACCAGATGCCTGTGGGAAATTGGCAGGCAGGATCTGAGCACAAAAGCCCTCTTCCCCTTGTGGTTTCCAGCAATGGAAATTCAGAAGCATTGCTGCTTCCGACTGCGGAGGCAGAGCAGGGCCATCGTGGCTAGATTGACAGCATCCTCCTCCACGAATTTGTCTAATCCTTTTGTAAAGCCATCCAAGCTGGCGGCCTCCCGTGTCTCCTGCAGGTGCAAGTGCCATAGTTTAAATGTGCACTTCCACTTTCAGAGCCACAACCCTTTAATGGACTGGCTGACCAAGGCTGGATCTACACTGACCTGTTTAACATTATTAAAATGGTACAGTCGTACCTTGGATCCTGAACGCCCTGGAACTTGGATGTTTTGGCTCCTGAACGCCGCAAACCTGGAAGTGATTGTTCTGGTTTGCATACTTTTTTTTGGAACCTGAACATCCGACGTGGGTTCCATGGGTTAGAATTGACCTCAGGGACTTCCTGCAGCCAATGAGAAGTCACGATTTGGTTTTCTAATGTTTTGGAAGTCGAACGGACTTCCAGAATGGATTCCGTGCAACTTCCAGGGTACGACTGTTTTAGACATATCATTTGTTTCTTTCGTCAAACCACAGTCTCCCTACTCCTGGTTGCTCTGCAGTGCCCTCTGGTATCACATTTTAATAACACATTATGAACATTAAAAGTATAGTCGTACCTTGGTTGTTGAACTTAACCCGTTCTGGGAGTCCATTTGACTCCCGAAACGGTTTGAAAACCAAGGCGTGGCTTCTGATTGGCTGCAGGAGCCTCCTGCACTAAATCAGAAGCCATGGAAGCTACATCGGACGTTCAGTTTGTGGCGTTCGGGAACCAAAACATCCGAGTACCAAAGTGTTCAACAACCAAGGTACGACTGTAGGACATCATGTGTCCATATAGTTATCAGAGCCATTCATTAACCCTTCGTTAACATTAAAAACCATGAGTGTAGATCTGCTCCAGGTAAGTCCTAGGAGGAAAAGTGAATACTTTTCCTAGAGCTCCCCATCCTAACTCCAAGGGTAAATCAGCTGCTAAGCAGAGAGAGCTGAGAGGTGAGGAAAGAGCTCTACAATCCCAGCAAGCAGCTTTCTTGGCCTCTCCTGGGAGAACCATTAGCATTATCTAACCATTATCTGGCTACTTTTGGTGCAATGAATTTGACACACAGGCCGCTTCTGAGACTTCCACTTTTCAAAATCAAAAGATTCACGATTGAGTCAGTCTTGCTTGCTCATTATCTGGCTAAGCCAGGCTTCCTCAGACTCGGCCCTCCAGATGTTTTGAGACTACAATTACCATCATCCCTGCCCACTGGTCCTGCTAGCTAGGGATCATGGGAGTTGTAGGCCAAAAACATCTGGAGGGCCGAGGTTGAGGAAGCCTGGGTTAAATGTTACAACCTGTGTTGTAAGCCCTTGCTGGGTCAAAGGAATAAGGAAGTTACAGAGCAAATGTCTTAATCTCGACCTCCAGGGCAGGGGAAAAAACCATCCATACCTGTCCCAAGAAACAGTATGGTATAGGGAATTCCCAAGATGTTCTCAGTTTGGTGTACTGTAATCCGGGTGTATTTCACATTGAGCTTCACAAACACGGGCTGGTTATAGAGTGGCTGAATCGTCTGATCCATCATATAATGTTCTTTCATGAAAACGAGGGTTTTGTCTGATGGTGGGCTGACAGAACACTGAAGGGGGAACAGAAAAAGAGGCCCATTGGATCAGGCTGAGACCCATCTAGTCTAGCATCCTGCTCTCACAGAGGCCAACATGCTCCTATGGGAAGCCTTCAAGGAGGACCTCTGTTCCCCTATTCACCCAAGGCATGAAGATGTGACTAACACACTTAAGTAGGAGTCCTCCATACTGTTCTCTTCCAGTTTTTATCCATGACTTAAGTCCGTTCTGGTAAATATTCAGAGTCTTGCACAGCACAGGGTGAGTGTGATGTTCAGTGTGAGCAGCCAGTTAAGTAGGGTGTGTTTTGTGGCTGTCTCATCCATCCGAGAAGCGCCATTTTAATTTTGGCTCCACGTTCTGTAAAGACACACAGCCTCCCTGGAGGAGAAACTGAACTGTTTGTGGGGCAACTGTTCATTTCAGGAGCTAAGGACACACTTACCGTATTTTTCGTCCCATAGGACGCACCTAGTTTTTTTGGGGGGAAATAAAGGAAATTCCCCCCCCCTTTATTTCCCCCCAAAACCAGGTCGGGGAATCCAAACCAGGTCGGGGAACAGCGGGATGGCGGCGCTGCGCCTCCCCGCTGTCCCCCAGGCTTGTGGGGCTGCCCGATGTCTTCCCGAAGCGCCAGGCGCTCTGCTTTCAGCGCGCCCCGCGCTCCGGGAAGCGGGCTGCTATCCGCAGCCTAGGGAGCCCTGCGGGAACTCCCACGGGCTCTCCAGGCTTGCTGATAGCTTCCTGATGCCTGGAGAGCGAGAGGGGTCGGTGCGCACCGACCCCTCTCACTCTCCAAGCTTCAGCAAAAGCCTGCATTCGCCCCATAGGACACACACAGATTTCCCCTTCATTTTTGGAGGGGGGAAAGTGCTTCCTATAGGGCAAAAAATACGGTATTTCAAGGGGGATCTACAAAGGGTTCCAGAAGCCCCTTAGACCTTTATAATAATTTCCTACAGCCTGTGGGATCACCTACACCAGGGATAGTCAACCTTTTGACTACCTACCGCCCACTAATGCATCTTTCTTGATGGTAAAATTTCCTTACCGCCCACCAGTGCTCGATGGAAGTAGGATTCAGCTTGTGCCATAGAACCCCCTACTGCCCACCTAGAATCCTAGCGGGCATTAGGGACAGGTTGACAATCCCTGCCCTACACAGTCTGGGTTAAGGGTCATAACTGGATAATCCTCTCACTTGTGGAGCAGCTGGCAGAACAGAACTACAGGAAACACTGGAGATGCTAATCTTCTGGCAGGACAGCCTAAGGACATAGGTTTGCTTTGACTTGATGGCAAACTATACATAGCACCCCTGAGAACCCGCATTCCCTGATTCCAACAGGCATGTGCAATCCCCTCTCAACAGCTTATTTCCATCAGTGCAAAAGGACACAAATTAACAGAAGGAACTGACAGCCAAAGCAATTACACAGGAACTTGCAAAAACATTCAGAAATAATTTGAATTTGATTCCACTTCAGAAAGCCGACAACTTCAAAAGCTGGGGTTAAATTAGAAGGAATAATTGTTTATCAGTATCGGAGGGGCCCCTGGCATGCATTGGACATGCGTGATGCGATGTTGCACCATCTAGAGCAGTGTTTCCCAACCTTTTTTGGGCAAAGGCACACTTGTTTCATGAAAAAAATCTCGAGGCACACCACCATTACAGCCCCGTGACGTCAGCGCGCAGCGTCACACCGGGAGGGACATGAATTGCTAGCAAATTACATAATCACCTCCTTGAGGGCTGGCTCATCTTCTCCGAAGGCAGAACCCCATTAATTAACAGCACAGACTCACACCATAGCCAAGACGAGGGGGGAAAACCTCAGTCATGCACAGTCATGCACATGTGGGGGCTAAATGAGGACGAAGACCGGGCAGAGAGCAGGGCTCAAATCACCCCACCTGGCCAGGACAATCCCTGGGTGCTCCCTTGGGCCACTCGCCTGACCCACCTCGCAGGGCTGTTGTTGCGAGGATAACACGGGGAGAACCATGCGCGCCCCCAGGAGCTCCTTGGAGGAGAAAGCGGGCGATGAATGCAATGCACGAAATATATGAGAGGCGACCAGGTTTTGCAAGTGAGGGGCCCCCGCCAGCCTCCGCTTCCAACACCCGGCGCAACGACGCCGAAGTTTCCCCCGGGCTTGGCTCGGGGAGCAGCGCTGCTCCCCCCCGGCTCCCCTTCGCCCTCCCGGCTCTCTCTGCCGCCCACTGGGGACCCCCCTCACCTGCCAAGTCCGGAGCGCCGGTGGAAGTTGCATGCATGCATGCAGGGCGCCGCGTTGCCATTGCATTGCACTGCACTCCATGCAACGCCTGCACGCATGCATTGCCTTGCACGCCCAAGGGGTCTCCCCGCGGTCCGATGCGTCCCCTCCGGCGCGGATGCAGCATTGCAAAAATAAAAAACCCCCGACGCAGCCCTACCTGGGGGGCAGCCTCCGCCTCCGCCGCTCCGCCTCCGCGGGGATCCCCGGGCTCCATCCTGCCGCCCGATCTCCGGGGGGCGCAGGCAGGCTGCGCGGGGTCTGCGCGGAAGAGCCCCTGCCCGCCTGGCCGCCGCCGCTGCGCTCATTCCATGGCCGGGAGAAGAGCGCTTCAAACAAAACGCCCGGCCCACCAGGCCACGCTGGGAAACGTAGTTTGCGCACCCCGCGCGGGCGCGGAGCCCAAGGGCGAGGGGACTACGGATCCCGGCAGCCCCCGCGCCGGGGACGGAGGGGGAGAGGCCGGGTGCAGGGATGGAGGGACGGGTGGGCGAGCGAGCGAGTGAGTGGCAGCCGCCAAGCCTTGGCCGAGAGCCAGGAAGGGCCTCCCCGGAGGAGGAGGAGGAGGGAGGCGCAGAGCGGGAGGGAGGGAGGGAACCCCAGGGGTCATCTAGTGACGGCGCCCCAATCGAAAATTTGACTTTAAAAAAAAAATATCTTTCAATTTTTTAATTTTTCCCGCAGCACACCAGGCAACATCTCGCGGCACACTAGTGTGCCGCGGAACAGTGGTTGGGAAACACTGATCTAGAGGAGGCTGAGGGCTCTGAAGGAGCCAGCCACTGATGCTGTGATGCACGACACTCGTGCCGTCACACCCACATACCAACCCCATTCCAACAAATATTCAAGGGGCTGAAGACAACTTGGCCCCCTAGAGTTGGGGTGCCTGCTCAGTATCCTCACCAGAAGCAGTATTCAGCTGGGCATTGCACACTTCCAAGCAGAGGGCTAAAAGCGGTACTTACTGAGCCAGGGGGAGGATCCATGGCCTCCCCTTCATAGGGCAGCCATCGGGAGCAGTTCTGGTGTAACTCTTTATATCTCCCATTATCAAAGACTTTGTTGATAGCATTAAGGTCGAAGGCGCAGACTGCCGAGCTCCAGAAACCTCCCACCTGCCTGCAAAGAGATGTACAAACCAGCCGCACCACTAGAAGGAAAAGGCACTCTGCATATGCTTGGAGTCAATTTACTTCACCAGTATTTAGCACATTGTGGGACCCAAAACAAATTCCAAAGTAGGGATGGATAAATTTGCGTATTTCGATTTCTCACTTTTCCAATTTTAAGTTCAGCTTGTCACATTTCTACATCGGTTTGTGAATCTTTTCTCAAATAAGTCCACAGAAACATGGTCAGCGTTGAGTGCTTATTTCCCCTAAGAGACACATGTTTGCAAGAAGTTGCTTCATATTTTCATTGTGTATGTTGCTTTTCTCATCATATGCATTTTTGCATGCGAACAGCTTCACAACACTGCAAATTTCCTAGGGTACTTGTGTTTCAGTTCATTTATTGTTTGGAAATATGCAAAACTAGGTAGGGACCCATTAAAAAAAGGGAACTGAATCAAATCCTACCCCCCGTTGTGCTGAGTGGCTAATATTCTTTCCCCGCTCCAGCTACTAAGGATTCTCACAGCCTTACCATTGAGGAACGAAGACCCCATAGAATAATGCACCGCCTCCTGGGTGTGGAACAGCAAACACGTGTTGAATGACAGTATAAGGAAACTGCCCTTTAAGGGCACAGGAAAGATGCGCTTTCAGAAAGGTGGTCCATTTCTTCTGCAGCAACGTTTTTCCTCCGACATCATTCTGTAGAGGATGGGAAAGCAAACATCACTGACCAATCAGATTGGTAGGCATAGTCCTTTTAAGGAGCAGCCCCAGGCATTCTCTCTTTTGAGATAATCAAATTGCTGCTTTTCTTTATTCATCCTATTAATTTTACGGTTTGCTTTGTTGCTTACTGTTTCATCATGCGGTGTTGTACATTTCCGTCTTGAGTTTAGCAAGCTTGTAAGCTGCCTTGGAGGATTTTATATAAGGGAAGCTGAGCTACGATGAAGACTGGTCGTGTTCGGCATCAACTCAGTGTCACAGAACCAGAAAATTGTAGAGTTGGAAGGGACCCCAAGGGTCATCTAGTCCAACCCCCTGCAATGCGGGAACCTCAGCTAAAGCATCCAGGACAGAAGACCATTCAACCTCTGCACATGCTCACAGCACTGAAAAGAAGTTCCTGCTCAAAAGCTTCCTTGATTTTGGAGGCAGCTCACCTTGCAGATGCGAGCAACCCTGGAGACGATCACATTCTCAAAGAAGTTATACTCCTTAGCTGTTTCCCAAAAGAAAAAATAGACTTTGTCATCATTTGGGGGGGCTTGGGTGTTGAAGGAGCCCACGAATGTTGCATCACCTGGGGAGGGGAGGGGAAGAAAATCGCCAGATGTGAGATCTGATTTAGTTTCTAAGGCCCCTCCCCTCCCCCTCAGCATCTGCCCTTACCAGTCATCCAGTGCTCATTCTTCAAAACTGAACTACTGCCCAGGGTTCGAGTGATGACGGACTCATTCCCTGGAACGTTTTCCTGGGTGGCAGTGTAAAGTTCGCCATCTGCAGGGTAAAGGCAGGAGAGAAGGTGACTCCTCCTTTCCCCTTCAGCCCGTTTTCTCGAGTGCTTATAATTCACTGCCCACAGTGCCAGTTCAATATGTTTTTGCACCTGAGGCGAACTGCAAAATGGTGCACGCTCACCACCAGGAAAGAAGAAGGTGAGTGAAGATGTCCATCAGGAACAAAGGTAGGGAGAATCAAATCAACCTTACCTGATAGTTGAGCCGGGAATCAAAGGCCGTCTCAGTGCAAGGGAAGTGGCCCGCTCTGAATCGTGCCAGGTGGGCGTGGGCGCATAGCCCAGGCAACTCCAGCGGGCAGCCCCCATCAGCAGCACCACCTATTCACCAAGAGGCTGCTGTAGAGGTGGCATGGGAGGGGAGCTGCCACAGAGGTGGCAGATCTGGCCTCCAAGGAGCACATTGCTGCAGCAGCTGGCAATGCATTCCTTGCTGTTCCTGCGGATGCTGCTGCTTGAGGCGGTTGCCTCATCTTGCCTCGTGGGTGGGCCGGCCCTGACTGCCCCTAATTTTGCCTTGTACATACCTTGCTAAATATCTTGTAAGTCAGTGTGCTTTCCTAAGCTTGCTCATGTCCCTCCCCAGGACCTCTACAAGTTATATCTCAGAGTGGGCGGCTTGTCCCCCAGGGAAAGGTGGCTGCGTGAATCTATGCACAGTTCATCAAACTGCTTCACACATTGCAGTGCCTGGGGTATATTTTAATCACACTGCAGGGTGACATGTTGTCCATCTTTCAACAAGAGGAAATACAGGCAGGGGACAGGCTGTCATCCTCCCTAGACGGATGTTCTCCGAATGATTTGGACTATAATTCTCATCAACCCCAGCCAGTACAGCTGATGGGAGTTGCAGTTCAAATCATCTAGAAAGGAGCCCAGCCTTTGACAAGGAATTAAAGGGGCCTGCCCTTTTGGGCGCCTCACCCAAGAAAAGCGCTTTTAAAGGGGGAAATCACGCCATGAAATCATGTGAGATCATGGCGTCAAAATGGCTGCCATTCTCTCACGAGGAGAAAAAAAGAGAGAAGGTGGCATCTGGGAAGATCGTGTCCTGGATTTTGCTGTTGAGTTGTTGGCGGGTATGGCATGAGAACTGGGGATGTTATAACAGACCTTTGTCTTCCTCTATGGTAAAGGACCCCTGACAGTTAAGACCAGTCGCAAATGACTCTGGGGTTGCGGCACTCATCTTGCTCTATAGGCCGAGGGAGCCGGCATTTGTAGACAGCTTCCAGGTCATGTGGCCAGCATGACTAAGCCACTTCTGGCGAAACCAGAGCAGCGCACGGAAACGCCGTTTACCTTCCCACCGGAGCGGTACCTATTTATCTACTTTCATTTTGATGTTCTTTCAAACTGATAGGTTGGCAGGACCTGGGACCGAGCAATGGGAGCTCACCCCATCGCAGGGATTCGATCAGCAAGCCCTAGGCTCAGTGGTTTAGACCACAGTGCCACCCGCGTCCCTATGCTTTCTATGGAATGCAAAAGCGGGCAATAGGGTGGTGCAAACTTTCGACATCCAAGGAAGTGGAACCCCTTCCAGGTGGCTCACCAACGAGGATTGCGGTGCTCCCATGGTGAGGGCTATAGGGGGAGACACCCTTCCCTTGCAGGAGAAGGGGCTTGCCTTCTGTATCTTTCACCAGACTGAATGTTGTTAGATCCTAGCAAGGCAAGGGAAGGAAAAGGAGAAAGGTCAAAAGAAGCAAAATTGATGGGAAGGTGTCCTTCAGAAACCAGGCATCCCCATGGAGCTGTTTATAATCGAAGGGAAGCACAGATTGTGGGCACCTGTTGATTCTCAGCAGGAATGTTGTCCCGTAGAACAGGGCCAGCCACACTGAAAGCCCAGCTTCAAGTTGCTAGCCTTATAAAGGGACCCCCCCCTTCTTCTCTCCCCTAAGAACTCACAACGTAAGCGCAGGTGGGACTGAAAGCATACGTCCCGCAGGTGTAAAGGTGTGTGTCGTTCAGTTGCACCAGGACACGGATGAAATTGAAGCATTCCCTCTGTGGAGATGAAGATGAGAAAATCAGGATTGAACTTCCAGTTACGTTTGCATCCCAAAGAAGGTTTCCACTGGGTGGTTGTTAAATAGCAACCAAGAATGCATGAAAACCCGGCCCCTTTCCTGCATGCAAGCACATAATAATAATAGTTCTTGAAAGGGTTAAAGGATAACTGATTATTTATTTAGTCAAAATAAGCAGTGGTGCCACTAGATAATTCTGCAGTCTGGTCATAATGGTGTTTTGTTAGAACTGCCAAAACACCTAATGGTGTTTTGTTAGAACCAACCTTTCATTTAACAAGCCCAAGCGGCACGGTGGTTTAACCCACAGCGCCACCCGCGTCCCTGTGCATAAGATAGTTCAGGATATACTGGTATTATTTCTCAGCAATTTGGAAGAGGATCGCCTGTGGTTCTTATGCTGTCTGTGTTCACGCAGCTGAGTTTCTATCTCCACCCCACCGACCTCCCACCCACAGGTCAGGTAGCAGCTTCGGAGTGGAGGTGGGCATTCAAACCAGCAAAAGGAAAGGGAAATGCACACAGATGCACACCACATTCCCAAACTGGGAGGCAGCACTTCCTCTATCCCCAATGCATTACCTCTTTGTTTTCCACCTTCAAGGCACAGTTATCCTTTTTATCAGCCGTGGGACTCCACTGTATCTATCACAGGAAAAGCAGGGGGAAAGGCATTTTAGAGGAGGAGAAACAAAAGAAGAGGGAAATAGTCAGATTGCAAATGTTCGGCCTTACTGGGATTCATCTGCAGAGTTATTTTGCAAATAGGAAGATGAAAGTCAAGACTAAATTTCTGTTTTTGTAATATAGTTGGGTTTTTTTAATAATTTTTATTAACAGACCAATCATATCAAATCAACTCACATAAATTCCGAATTACAGAGCCTAATTTTAAATTTTGTTGAGGGTACCCATCTTTCAAGTTCCGAAAGGGGTCCAATCCTCTTATTGCCACTGCTTTAAAAGTCCACAAATCTGTCCAAATAATGTTCAAAATTCTGTCCAATCCTTTCTTGCTGTTTTCCACATCTCTTAGTTGTTTTCATATATTTTTCCTCTCTCTTTGTCTTTGTGGCCTCTGATTGTCTCCATAAACAGGTTCAAACAAATTTGTATTCCTGTGTGGGTTTTTCCGTTCGTCCAAGAGTCGTATTTCAGACAGCCGTCGTATTTCATCACTTCCATAAAGAAAAGCATTCTTGCTGTCTACTTATTCACTTTTCGCAGGTCTGTCCCTCTTTCTCGGTCCTCGAGGAGGTTCTACCAGGAATCCAGTATGAAAACAAAGCTTCCTCCCGATAAATCTTTCGACAAGACCCGTCAAAATGGTGACTCCCTTTTTGTTGCTGCGCCATCAAAAGCCCTTGTTCTTTTTCTCGATCTCACATGTCAAGCTTTTGGTAGTAAATTATTTCCACACAGTTTTTAATCATCCTGCTTAGGTTGGTTATGCAGCGGTTCTTTTTGAGAAGGGGTTATTGATTAATCAGGGACACGGGTGGCGCTGTGGGTAAAACCTCAGTGCCCAGGACTTGCTGATCGTAAGGTCGGCGGTTCGAATCCCCGCGGCGGGGTGAGCTCCCGTCGTTCGGTCCCAGCTCCTGCCCACCTAGCAGTTCGAAAGCACCCCTAAGTGCAAGTAGATAAATAGGTACCGCTTTATAGCGGGAAGGTAAACGGCGTTTCCGTGTGCGGCACGGGTGCTGGCTCACCAGTGCAGCTTCGTCACGCTGGCCACGTGACCCGGAAGTGTCCTCGGACGGCGCCGGCTCCCGGCCTCTTGAGTGAGATGAGTGCACAACCCTAGAGTCGGTCACGACTGGCCCGTACGGGCAGGGGTACCTTTACCTTATTGATTAATCACATAGAAGAAAAGAAAAAAGTCCCCCCCCCATCCAGTCCCGCTCCGGCATACTGAACCTGATGTAATTTCTTCATGTTGTATTCCGTTAAATCCAAACCTGTTGCTCTCGTTTCACAGAGGTCACTTCAGTTAGCAGTTTTCACTCCCATTCTTCACTTGAAATATGTGCATTTGCTTCATTTCCAATTAAATATCTCAAGTTTATGCAAACCAGTGCGCGATCAGAGACAGCATCTGGGAGAGCCGGACTCCACCCGAGGGCTTTATGCCTAGTGCCCTCATCCCCTTCTTTCGAATCTGGGGGTGAATTATGGGCACAGCAGGCAAGGCAGTCTCCCTTGGGGCCATTCCCTTGGGGGCAAGGGAGGCTGCGTACTGCCATCACAGCCTCTTAATTACCTCGTGTGGGTCGGAGAGATGTTATTGTCGGCCATCTTCCAATGCACCCCCTGGTGGCCCCCTGTTTTTGTAATATAGTTTTAACGGTTTTGTGTTATATTTTTATAATTTGCTCAAGAGATTTTCAAATATCCAGTAATTTAGAAATGCATTAAATAAGCAAATAAATAAGCAAGACCCCCCACTGTTTACAGTCTCTAAACTCTGGTCCTTGATAAAGCACTGACTTGCTTGAGACAAAATGCCAAATCATGGTTATGGAGCCATGTGACTGAGCCGTCTGCTTCTTGCAGGATATAGGGATGGAATTATTCATCCATTTTGGTTTCTCCTAGTTTCTCATTTTGAACCTGAAGTTCAACTCTCCACATTTCTGCATCAGTTTGTGCTTTTCTTTCTGAAGGTTTTTTTTTACTCAATATTTACATTTTTGCATGTTTTAAGTAACGTAAATTTTTGTGCATGATTTCCTTGATACACACTTTCTTTGAAGTTTGGATGGAGAACGGCACCGCAAAATTCTGAGAAGTGCAGGTTTTGAAGGAAAGCTGTGTTCCAGCTTGGGGAAGTGCAGATTAGGTGGGTTCACGTTAAATTGTAAACTTTAATTGCTTCCCTGTCGCTGCTGTGCTGCCCCCTCTTCTCCCCTCTTGCTTTCTGCTAATGGGGCCATGCAAGGAAATAAATACAAATTAACTATTAAAGAGGTTACAAAGCAAAAATAAACCCTTTACCATAAAAAGACAGTTAAGAAAGGCTAACAGTGTAAAGACACCTTTCAGGATTTGGGTAAAGTCCAAAAGTTAGCTGGCCACACCCAGTTCCAACCATTAGAGTAAACTGTATTGAGGCATCTGTGGATGTTGCATCGCACAAACCTTTATCAGGGGCCATTAGACCCAGGCCAGAGGCCAGCTTTTCTACCCAAAAGGGAGAGTGGATTTCCTTCAGCCAATGAGGGCTTATTTTCTCAGCACTAGAGGATGCCCATGGTGGAAGACCTTGCAGCTACTAAATGGATTTCTGCACAATCTCTTGTGACCTTGATGTAATCCTGCAACAGACATGCCACACAGGTGGCAAGTTGGGTTAATTAAACAAAACCTCCCCCCGCCCCCCAGGAAGGCTGCACCCAGAATCCTAAGTAAAAAGCCATTAAAACGAACCAAAGACATGATGATTTATTTACCTACATTGAATCAGGACTTTAACCAACATTAAGCTGCTGCTTACCCTTCAAACCTGGTGCAAGCCATAGTTTCCTGGTTGGGGTGTCTAATGGTAAACCGTGGTTTGATAAAACTAGGAAGTAATGCGGTCTGGGGGCAGGGAGGGCTGAAACATGATGAACACCAATGCACACATAGAAACATTTTTTAAAGGGTCCTCAGTATCTCCCACAAAACAGGGAGCAGGGTTGAAAGGGTTGTCATCTTGAATAATGTGGATGAGCACCCTCATCAGAACACCACTCCAGACCTTTCCTCTCACTTTCTCCAGCACTTCATATCCTGAAACCCCATTTCCCACTCACCTCATGCTTCACCCTGACAGTTGTATCCGTGCGAATGTCAAGGGCGAGGATAGTATCTCTGGCACCCACATAGAGAGTTTTCTTGTTTTTGCTCAGTAGGAAAGTGTCCCAATTCTGAACCTCTTTTTGCATGAATGGGAAAATTTTTCGTCTGGGATCCCCTGAGGATAAAAAAAAGAGTAAGGCTAGGTACATTTTCAGCGAGCATTTGGTAGCCAGTCCTGGTTTCCAGTGCTCAATGGTGATCAATTTTTTCTCTTCCTGCTCCTCAGAGGCAAAGTCAGTGTGCCCCTTTTGTACCATGACCAGTGAGGGTGTATTACTTGGTGGATCATTGGGTGGTGTGTGTGAATATGTAGCAACTCTGTCCCCAACATGGGCCCAGTCTGGTGCCATTTTGAAAGGGACATCCTCACATGCACAATGGTGGGTGCAGACGGCATATGCATACAGTGCAAATACTCAACAGTCTCAAGTTTCTGGTCCTGTGCACGTGCTAAGAATCCACAGATGACAAACATCAGGAGCAGATGGATGTGATCCTGCTCTCCCACCCAGATGTGCATGATCCACCAATTCTGAATGTTAGCACAGGACTAGATGAGGTATAATAGTTTATTCCTACCAATGAATACACTCACAGCTCACTGTTAACCTTTCCCATCCCAAATCTTGCTCATCTCCTTTGAGGCACCCTTTCAACTTCTCCCCTAGTGCACAGCTATTGACTCTGTCTTCCTTTGAGTTACTCACTTAACGAGGTGGTTTGCTTTGGCATCAGCTCTGTGGCCAGAGTGTTGGCAAACATCAGGAGGCAAATGAAGAAGTGTTTGGAGTTCATGGTTGGTTATCAGCAGATGGTAGCTGTCAAGAAATGCAGAAGAAAGAAAAGAAAAGAAAGGAAGGGAAGGGAAGGAAGGAAGGAAGGAAGGAAGGAAGGAAGGAAGGAGAAGAAAGAAAGAGAGAGAGAGAGAGAGAGAGAGAGAGAGAGAGAGAAAGAAAGAAAGAAAGAAAGAAAGAAAAGAAAGAAAGAAAGAAAGTAAGTCATCACTAAAAAGTTAACGACATATTATACCCTTGGCTACATGTTTGTTATATGAGGCTTAGTGCCCTCTGTGACTAGATGTCCTTTTCGCCAGCTTTGCCTGGTACAGTGGAACCTCGGTTTTCGAACGTGATCCGCTCCGAAATGTTCAGAAACCGAAAACTGAAAGCGGAAGCCTCAATACAATAGGGAAACTCAAAATGGAAGCCGCGTGGCACGTTCGGCTTCTGAAAATCGTTCGAAAACCAAAGCAGTAACTTCCAGGTTTTCGGCATTCAAGTTCCGAAACGTTCGTCAACGGAGAGGTTCAAGAACCAAGGTTCCACTCTACACTAGCTAAGGATGTTTCTGGAATACAGTAGGCTGTGGGTTGATAACCCTGAGAATGGACTACTGCAATGTACTGTATGTGGGGCTGCCCCTGGGACTTGGTCTGAAAGCTACAGCTGTTGCACAATGCAGCAGTAAGAATGCTGATGGGGGCAAACAGCCAACATCGTGTTTTCTAAAATATCGGCATTGGCTGCCCATATGCTACTGGGTCAAGTTCAAGTTTTATTTTAACATATAATGCCCTGAACAACTTGAGTACCAGACATTTTAAGGATCTGAGCACTTAATATAAATATAAATATAAATATAAATATAAATATAAATATAAATATAAATATAAATATAAATACAAATAAATATTTAATACATTTAAATTATTATTATTATTATTATTATTATTATTATATCATAGCTTCATCACAGGGATCACTTTTAGGAATGCTGCTAGTTGACCCCAGGGTTTCCCGATAAGTCAGGTATGTAAGCGTCTGGCTAGCATCCTCACTGTTAAATTTCAAGACTATCTTGAAGACCTTTTTATGCTAACAGACCTATTCGGCTGTTTAAATTTTCTTAGGTTGGACCCTGTCGTGTATTGTTGGTATGGTATTCTGTGCTTTGTTGCATCTATTTTTGTACACCACATTGATATTTTATGAGTCCGGTAAGTGTGAGATAGGGACGCGGGTGGCGCTGTGGGTTAAACCACAGAGCCTAGGACTTGCCGATCAGAAGGTCAGAGGTTCGGATCCCCACGACGGGGTGAGCTCCCATTGCTCGGTCCCTGCTCTTGCCAACCTAGCAGTTCGAAAGCACGTCAAAGTGCAAGTAGATAAATAGGTACCGCTCCGGCGGGAAGGTAAATGGCATTTCTGTGCGCTGCTCTGGTTCGCCAGAAGCGGCTTAGTCATGCTGGCCACATGACCCGGAAGCTGTACGCCGGCTCCCTTGGCCAATAAAGCAAGATGAGCACCCAGAGTCGGTCACGACTAGACCTAATGGTCAGGGGTCCCTTTACCTTTAAGTGTGAGATAAGTTATTGCAAAATATAAAATATTTGGCAGTCAAATACAACTGCTTGAAATGGGATGGCTGATCAGATATTCCTAAATATATGGCTCTCAGCTGCCAAAGTGGCAACTTTAGGAATGCATCTGCCTAAGGCTCTTCTGAAGATGCAGGAAGGAAAATAGTAGTAGTAGTAGTAGTAGTAATATTTATTTATTTATTATATATATACATACATACATACATACAAACATACCCCACCCGTCTGGCTGGACTACCCCAGCCACTCTGTGCAGCTTCCAACAAAATATTAAAAACACCATAAAACATCAAACAATAAAAACTTCCTTAAACAGGGCTGCCTTCAGATGTCTTCTAAAAGTCAGATAGTTGTTTATTTCCTTGACATCTGATGGGAGGGCATCCCACAGGGCGGGCGCCACTACCGAGAAGGCCCTCTGCCTGGTTCCCTGTAACTTCGCTTCTCGCAGTGAGGGAACCGCCAGAAGGCCCTCAGAGCTGGACCTCAGTGTCCGAGCAGAACGATGGGGGTGGAGACACTCCTTCAGGTATACTGGGCTGAGTTGGGGAGCTAAAGTTCTCACGTTGTGGGCAAGAGCTTCAGTGCGGGTGAGGTGGAAAATACCTGCATGGGGTTATCACTAATTGTGGGAAGATCCACTGAAGAAGACAAGTGATGGTACCAACTGAAGGCTCATGCTCTTTTTTGTCCAAAATTCCTGGGGCGGAATTCCAAAGCCATAGAGGTAGATCAGAAGCTTTCCAGGCCTTCTCTGCTCATCCTTTCCCCAGGACCCCACGTCCCCTTTCTCTGGCCTCCCCAGGCTCAATTGCTCTTTCCCCAGTTAGGCCACAAGGTCTTCTCCTTCATCAGCACCTACTCTTTTCTCTGCTCTGCCCCGTCTTGCACCAATCCTTGTTCTGACCTCTCTCAGCAAGCCCCAACCCTTTGGTGCTCATCTTGTCTGTGACATCAAACAATGGCAACCAATGGCATCAGAAGTCAGAAAAAACAATATCCCCCCCCCCCTTTTTAGTGAAAAGTTGCCAGTCACCCACGTTCAGATGGAACTCTTTGTTAAGAGAGTGGGTTCTGAATATGCCAGAGGTTCCCCAGGCTGTGGCTGATAGAAACTAGAGCTCCAAACACCTGAATGGCAGCAGGTTGATCTACTAGACTCTCATTTCTTCCACCAAGATGGCTCAGTTAAGACAATGCTTCCAAGCAAAAGTCTGGAAGTTAGGGAACGTGACAGAAGCTCCTCCTCCTAGAAAGGATTCTGGTTCCCTTCTTCCATTTCCAGGTCTCCTTTAACCATGGGTGCTACAATTGCCCAGGGTGATGACATTTAAAGCCATCATTCCCAATCAGGGCTTGGAGGTGACCAGGAGCTCTGGTTTTACCCAATTCAGACATAGCAGCAAACTATCACCAGAGGAAACTTAGGAATGGAGGAAAGAATCAGGAAACATGAGAGGAGGAGCGTGCACACACCACACACCTCTGTAGTATCTTCTAAGGCTCCCACTTACTTGGGAATGAAGTCTGATTGAACTCAGTAGGACTTACTCCTGAGTATGCATCATCAGGATTGCACTGCAAGCCATGTTTTGGAGGATTATAATAAGATGTCTGATGGGACAACAATGCTAGCATCAACAATTCAGCACGCACAAAATGACTGGCAAATCTGAAACCAAAAGGTTCAAATTCTGAAAATAGAATACGCTGTTTAAATCAGGCGCAGCTACTTAGTTTACTTAATTCCTCACACAATCCAGTTCAAGACTCCTCCAAGAATCAGATCACTGGTTATAAAGTCTCATAAACACTGAAAAAGATTGTGCAGGGATTTTAACTGTATGGAATTGGGTGCATATATTGAGCCCGGTGTTATTAGGTGAGCTTCTTGTAAAAGCCCTTTGACAAAATTCCTGCTGGTGTCTTTGAGAGTCTAATGAGCTTTGAAAGCAAGTTGGGAATGTAAAACAATGGCAACACCCTTGGATTTAGGAGATCCTGTGGCAACCATCTGTTGTCCAAAGCAATTATGACGTAGCAGCGAGTCCTTTCGGTCAGCCTCTGAGCATTTATGGGATTTGCTTGTGTGGTGGCTGTACATCTTGTTGATCAGTCATTGACCTCACACTTTTAAGTGCATTTCTCCATCACTTTCCTAATGGCAGAAAGTATTGGAAAATCTGGATAAGCGTGGATTTGTGTTTTCGTTCTGGAAAATGCAAATCTGATAGATTTGGCTTTAAATGCAAACTGAACCAAATTTCTCCCCCGTCCCGACTAGAGAGAGAGAGAACAATCTGCAGTTGATTCAACAATAGAGTGATGCTACGGCATAAGGTGGGTGATGCAAATTGAAGTCCAAAGTGGCCATGCTGGCTGACCTTCACCTCCGCTTTATTTTTTAATTTAAAGCAGGCAAATGAACTGCACTCCTCTCTTCACCTCCCTGCCACCCCCACAAATATCTGAAGCACATAACAGAAGGGCCCAAGACCACATGAACCAGATCAGCCATAGGAATGGCTCAGTTATGAAGACAAACTGGGAACCAGCTCAGGCATGATAATAACTCCAGGTAATCTTACACAGAATAAATCATTCCCTTTGGGTTGGGCCTGCCAATGTCCTGCTCTGCTGCCCCCACTTGCACCCCTAGACTCCGACCTCACTTTCCGTTATGGTAGAGCTGCCTAACAATGGGGCTGGTTTTGCGGGCTGCACATCATGTTGCTAATTTGCCCTCCTGTATCTGCCCTTGAATTGTTGGTAGCTTAAAATCTGCCTCTCAGCCCTGACTAACCCACAAGCATCCTTCAGCTTCTTAATGAGCATCTGCCAACCTGGAAAGCTCTGGAGATCAGGGATTGGCGTTGGTATTCCATTTGTTTTTAGGATTTAGGCAAACATTTAACAGAGAGATCTATGGATTTGGGTTGTGAGTCAATCTATGGAAGTGAGGACGGGGACCTGAACAAGTGAGAGGGATTCAGCAAGCTGCACAACCTGGCTTTCCCATGGCGTTGTAGAGAAAAGGGGACAAGGAAAACTTGAAATCAAGAGGTAACAGCATGTTTACTTTTGTGGTGCTTGAGAACAGCATCACAATAGTGGCAAGATCTTTGTTTGGTTGCCTGTGGTGAGCTGTTGTGATCTCAAAAGGTTGCTCCTGCAGAGGGATGAAGCTGGACCAGGTTAGATTCCCTCTACTGCCACAACGCCTCTGGAGTCTTCCCCATATGCCAGGTCGAAGTCCAAGCAGTTGTTTTTAGCCAGGATGTTCTGAAAAGATCCACCACCACCTTTGACACAGCAGATCTTAGAGCAGTTGGCAGCTTCCTGGCAAAGGTTGCCTTGTGGAAGGCTCTGGCTGTCACGAAGCAGGAGTTTCTCTTGACCTGATGCTTTATTGGCTTTAGAGAGGCTCCTGCATCCCGGCCCTTCCATTTTCAGATTGTCAGGGAAGGAGAAGAAAACCAAGGTCATCACAACCACCACAGTAACTGAGCTTGGGGAAGCTCTGCTTCTTCTGCTGCTGCTGCTGCTTCTGCTGCACCCAATTTCTGGCCTTCCTCCCTCAATATCCTGCTTCAAGCCATCCCTAAGGAAAGGAAGGACCCAGGAAAGTAAGAACCACCTTGCTGGACCATAGCAAGGTCACATTCACATTATACTTTTAAAGCAGTCTTATTCCACTTTAACAGTCAAGGCTTCCCCCAAAGATTCCTGTGAACCGTAGTTTGTTACAGGTCCTGACTTCATTGACCTACAGTTCCCAGCACCCTTAACACACATCTCTTCCCAGGATTCTCCTTGTCTGTTAAAGTGGTGCTTTAAATGTATGGTGTGGGTTTCAGTGTGAGGAAAGGATGGAATAATCTGTTTAGTGTTTTCCAGTTTTAAGGTCTGCATGAAAATTCATACAGTTCCATGTACATTGCACCCAACTTGCATTTTTTATAGGCAATTGTGCTTAATCTATGCACACACACCCAAATCTCCTAATCTAATGAATTACAGTACATTATTTTCACTATTACAACAATTTTTGTGTGCAGCACCGCGGAATCCGAAGACAGCTGCATTTCAAATCACCTAGTGAACTGAAGTGCACATAAGGTAGGTTTGCATTTATTTGCAACTCAAACCAAATTCCACAACTCCCCATCCCCACTAAGGAACTCATCCTTTCATAGAATCATTGAGTTGGAAGGGACCACGAAGATCATCTAGTCGAACCCCTTGCAAGGCAGGGATTTTTGCCCTAGGTGGGGCTCGAACCCACAACCCTGAGATTAAGAGTCTCATGCTGTACTGACTGAGCTATCCTTAACCCTTCTATGTGCTTTCACAGAGTGCTCTCTAGCTTACAAATACTTACCTGTCAGCATTGGAGATTTGGATTTCTTTGCACCTGCGTCCGTTCCAGGCACAGTATGGATCTCGCGCTGCAATGCAGTCGGTACAGCTTTTGTGAATGCCACAGTTGGCCATTGTTATTTGAAGGACTCCTTTGCCATGCCCCACATGCAGGATTCCCTGACAATGCACAGACAGAGATGTTCCATTGCTATCTGGAACCCATTAAAGGATGACAGGCCGAAGGTCATCCTTCCGCATCTGGTATATAATTAAGTTGTGGGAGTCATCGTAACAACAGGCACCAGCTTTAAAAAGTCAAATCAAAATGTAGTTATATAAACATTTAACTACAAGCTACAGGGAGGCATTTTGGCCCTGCCTGACAAAACATCAATGTGAGTTAGACAGAGGTGTGTGTTTGCAACTTCCGGCTTTCTGCTGTGGGAAATGGCTGCCCCCCTCACGAATGGACCCCAGCCGTGCCAGTAACCCAGGGCTAATATGGGAGTAATTAGCCCTGGCAGACTCCCCAGGGTGGGGGAGGACTGTCTCACAGACCCGCAGATAGCCTGTGATCTGTCGGCTCGCATCAAGGTGCGAGCGGTAGGGGCGCTGGGTCTAAGAGCACAGCATGGCTGGCACTCTCCGGAGCCACTCCTACATGCAAGGACACCTGTTTCTTAAAAATTAATAAGATTTGACCAAAAACAGGCATGTTCTGGACTGAAGGAGAAAAAGGAAACAATCTGCGGAACTGCACAGTTGGTGGTGTTTAAGATTGGACTTCAAAGAGATTCTCATCATGGTGTTTTGATTTACGGAGGTGATCGGTACATACTTTCTTTATATCTACATTTGCTTTTATGTGCTGAACCTCATTAGAGAGATCTAATTTTTAAATGGAGTACAGGTGGATATCTGTTCACAATTAATTATTCAGCTGTGCAGTTTTAATCGGACTTGACAAAAGATAAAGGAGCGGCCAAGATGGCGTTTGCTAGCTCTCACGCAGGATAAAAAAGAGCAAATTACTCCCTTTTTCGAGGGAGTAGGAAACATTTGTTGGCTGATTCTACAACAATCTGAGACAATAATTTGGGATACAGTGAATCTGTTTGCATGCTTTTCTTCATCATGGGCGAGAGAGAAGGCGAAGCGGGCGTCTAGCAGCCCCCCTCCAGGGCCCAGAGGTGGGTCTGAGTGGTCCCTGGAAAAGCTGATCAATCACCAAATGATTTATAACTTCATTGCTACATATGTTAGTGAACAGTATGCTTAACAACATAACAACTTTGGAATACTGGGTCAACAGCCCAGAATGGGAGATAAGAGTGGAGCCAGGAAAAGCTGCACTGACAAATGGACAGAAGGAATATATATATATATATATATATATATATATATATATATAATCCACACCTAATGACCCACCTAAGTGGTACTCAGGATATCACTCAAGAAATCACTCAAGATATCCCTCAAGTAATTAAGGAACAAAAGAAGAAAAGGCACACTAGCCTGGGAACTTCCTCTCTGCCCAGAACATTGGAGGCTATACACCACACCCCCTCAACAGTATTTATAGGAACTCAAACACTGAGATCCTGCTCTGTTCCAGTAACAAGAAGCCGAAAGCACCAGCCTGAAGATGACGAGTGAGACCTCGTCGAAACGTCGCCTAGACACCCCAACTTTTACACGGGAAGACACCCGAGGACACCAAAACCTGCATATATATATATATATATATATATAAACTGTACTCGGCAAATGAAAGGATACATGGCTGTTTAACATGATGAGACTCGATCAGCCAGGGACTGAGGACTTTGAGAGAGTTTAAGATTGGAATGTGAAAAATATGAGAACAAGAAGAAAGCAGAAAATATAATTGTGTGAGATGATTGCTTCAGAAGTCCAGAATATGGGAAGTCCGTTTGAAATTTAATAATTAATAATTCGGATTGTAATTTGGTGTTGTTGTTTTCTTGATTTGGATTATAACTGGATTTGATTTGTTATGAATTGGATGTTTTTAATGGAAAACTAATCTTATTATTATTATTTTAAAAAGGCAGATGTGTGTGTTTGGCAGCAGGGCAAGGAGTCAGGGCACCGTACTCTGCCCAACAAAACCCCAAACTCTCAATAAGGTAACTAATACATACACGTACACACACACACACATACACACACACTGCTCTTTCTGACCATGCAGACCATGAACACATGCAGGTGAAGTCTCTTGACTGCTTGGGAATCAGCTCCCTAGGATTTCAGTCAGAAATCTTTTCCCAGTCCTAACTGGAGGTGGAGGTGCTGGAAACTGAACTTGGGGCCTTCTGCACATGAAGCATTGTGTCCATTCACCACAAATAAAGTACTTTCTACTCCTAATGGTTTTTGGATCAAGAACTGATATAAAGAGGAAGCTGCCTAATAATACCTCATCAAACCACTGGGCTCATCTAGCTGGCTGGCAGAAATTCTCCAGGGTCTCCGACAGGGGACATTGCCTGCCCTACTGGGGACTGAACCGAAAACCTTCTGTATGCAAAGCAGATGCTCTGCGGCTGAGCTACAGCCTTTTAAAAGCTCGCAGCTCCAGTCTCTAGCCAACAGAGCCTTCCTACCTCTTCAGGAGAAAGCAGCAGACTCCTGATCGCCTCTGGCCTCACAAACAGCAAGATCTCCTCCACAATGTATGCCTCGTTGCCAACGACCACTGCTTTGTGAATGATGCCCTGGTCTGTGGAAAGTAAGGGAAGATGCCGAGGTGTCAAATTGGATACGATGGTGGCGGAACAGTTTGTTGAAATACAGGCCTGCCCTCCTCAAATGTGTGGTGGGAGTCCAGTTATGAGAGCTAAGGAGACAAGCAGGTGAGGGAAGCTGAACTCCACTCTGCCTGCAGTTCATTCTCACTTCTGCTTTTGGAGGTTCACCTGTGGCAGGTGACAGGTAGTCAGCCTCTGAGATTTCTACTTTTTTAAATTGAAAAATTTGTGATCGATTCATTCCGCCTCATCAATCAATCTATTGTTTTATTTGCATGCCTCTTTCCTAAGTTAAAACCATGCTCAAGGCGACTTATAATATATTTAAAAATTACATAACGGCAAAACAGAACAAAAGTAGTCATGAACAAGAAACGAAACACCAAAGCACACGAGCAGATTTTACAATTGCCACATCAGTTATAAGTTTTTAAAAAAAGATACAACAACAGCAATAAACACGCCCCCCAATCCAAACAATTCCTAGCCTAATATATAGTTAAATGTCACAGCCCTCATTTTTACCCATTATTGGGTCAAAAAAAATAAATAGTTCACAAAGCTCAATACTGTAGTATTATTGTTATTATTATTAAAATTTCTGTACCACCCTTTATCTGAGGATTACAGGGCAGTTTGCAATATAAAAACACAAAAAGACATAACAAAAACAATAAAACCCAGCCCCAGTTTAAACAGCCATAGATTGTTTGATGAGCCAAAGGCCCGGGGAATGTTATTGACTGGTGCCAAAATATAGGTAACAAAGGGGCCAGGCGAGCCTCTCTGGGGAAAGCATCCTACAAATAACTCAATCTCTACTACTGGAGCATAAAAGCATACCTGTCCCAAGAAACATCACATAGTAGGTCCTTCCCAAGGAGTTATGCAATTCGTGTACCGTAATCTGGGTGTATTTCACATTTGGCTGCACCAGTAGAGGTCGATTATCGATTGGCTGAATTTTTTCATCCATCACATAGTGCTGTCTCATGAAGCTGTGGGTGTTGTGTGAAGTGGGGGTGATGGAACACTGCAGGGATAATGTGAAAAGAGCTGGAGGTCAGTCCAGCATCCTGTTCTCACAGTGGTCAGCCAGATGCTTTGGGAAGCCTGCAAGGAGGACCTGAGTTCAACAGCACTCTCTCCCCTTATTTGAAATTCCAAGCAACTAATATTTACAGGCACGATGCTTCCAACAATGGAAATAGGACACAGACACTATGAAGAAGCCCAAACATGATAAATGACAAAAAAAAAACCCTGCCTTATACTGAAGGAGACCACGATGATAAGGGTCTGGAAGCCAAGCCTTATGAGGAACGGTTGAAGGAGCTGGGTATATTTAGCCTGGAAAAGAGGAGACTGAGAGGAGATATGATAGCCATCTTCAAATATCTCAAGGGCTGCCACACTGAAGATGGTGCAAGCTTGTTTTCTCCTGCTCTGGAGGGTAACTCAAACCAATAGCTTCAAGTTACAAGAAAGTAGATTCCGACTAAACACCAGGAAGAACTTTCTGACAATGAGCAGTTCAACGGTGGAACAGACTTGTACTCTCTTTCACTGGAGGTTTTTAATCAGAGGTTGGATGTCTGTCTTTAGTTGAGATTCCTGCATTGCAGGGGGTTGGACTAGATGGGACCTTGTGGTCCCTTCCAACTCTAAGATTCTATTATTCTACTTTTCCTCCACTGTTTCCAGGCACAGGCCATGCTTTAAAGCTCCATGTCTGAGCACCCTTTTCTTTGCTCCGTAGCTTTCCTCCCCAAAACCCGCTCTTTAAAGCTCAATTGGAGCAAACGGCAATCCACAAAACCCCAAATAGACGTTTGCTCCAATTGAGCGCTAAAGAGCGGGTTTTTGCAGGGAAAGCTCTGGGGCAAAAACACCACCAACAACGCTTGGATACTGAACTTTTAAGTGCGGACCTGTGCCAGGAAAGAGCAGAGCAAAAGGTAAATGTGGATAAGACGAGTCAGATCATTGGTCCTTCTAGCTCTCTACTGGAAAATCCTATACCAGATTGGTGCCCTCCAGAACGTGCTGGACTCCAACCCCCGTCAGACCCAGCCAGCATGGCCCATGGTCAGGGATGTTGGATGTTGTGCAATAGCTCTCAGGGAGGCGTCTTTCCCAGCGCTGCCCAGAGATGCCAGGGATGGAGCCTGGGACCATTTGAGAGCCAAAACAGGTACTCTACTACCAAGTTACCAGAATAACAAGAGGCAGTGCTTTTTTCAGGGGGTACCTCAAGGGGACACAGTACTGGAACCTCTTTTTTGTTGTTAAAAAGTGTGGGACGTATCTTCACTGTAGCAGTCAAATACTGTACAACGCTTGCTGTTTCCTAGAGTGGACACACAGGGGAATGTTGCTCCAGACAGGGAGAACTTCCTGTCATACATGCTCTGGACCACGCTCCCCCTGTGTGTGACCAGGGAGATGGGCATGACCCTAGCAGACCCTATAAAAGGGCTAGTCACAAAGCCATCTTCCTTTCGTTGGCTCTTTTGCTGCTCTTTTACCATCTTCTGCTGGCTCATCCTTACAGAGGATGGAAGCCACAAGGTAGAAAGTCTGAGGCCTAGCTCAGACTTCCTTTCTCTACAACTGTAACTGCAACTGCAAGATAAAGCCTGCCTTCAGGACAAAACTGTGAACTGAATGTAAGTAAACTTTACCAATACTTTTAAAAGAAGACTGTCGCATCATTATTGTTTTTAAGAGGGAACTAAAGGGGAAATTTACCAGGAACAATCCAATCTGGACAAGCCAGACTGGATTGTTGAACTTATATGATTCTAGGGAATCCATCAACTTGCTTCCAGATAAGGGATAGTGCTCTGCTGCTAGCTCACTAGTATGAGTGAGGAGGGATAATATTTAATCAGTATATCCTCTGCTACTATCCACAACATTTCCACAAAAAGTGTGGCACTTATTGCAACAACTTCATGTTGAGTACTGGCACCTATTTTTCTAGGGGAAAAAAGCACTGATAAGAGGACTTTGAAAACACCCATTCTACTCCAGAAAAACAACAGCTCCAAAACTGGGGAGAAAGGAGGAGAATTTTGTAAGCATTCCCCACCAGAAGCTCATGTTCACCTGGTCCCTGCTCACACCCTTCTAAGAGGGCTTGAAGCGATACTCACACTGCCAGGGCGAGGGTCTGGGACCTCCCCCTCATAAGTCATCCATTGGGAAAAGCTGCTTTCCTCTTTGAATTTCCCATCATCAAAGACTTTGTTGATAGCAGCAAGGCTGAAGGCACAGACTGCCGAGCTCCAGAGATCTCCCACTTTCCTGCAAAGAGATGGGCAAGTCAGCTGCACCACTAGAATGAAAAGGCACTCTGCAAATGCTCAGAGGCACTTATCTTCATTACTGTTTAATGCGCCGTGGGACCAAAGAATGGATTCCAAGATAGGGATGGATGAATCTGATGTTGCTTTCTTACTTTTCCAGTGTGAAAATCAGCTTGTCACCTTGTTGCAATGTGTCAGAAACCACATGTATGTCCGGCGCTCACATGTATTCATACATACACTACCAAGCACTGGCGCCAACTATAGGGCACCCACAATGCAGGGCTCTGACACAACTTCCGGTTTCCAGGTCAAGAAAAGTTCATAAAGGGGATCTCTTTTCATATGAAGTTATGCCAACCTTTACTCATGCCACAATCTATGGTAATAAACCACAGAAAAAGTTCGGATTGACACACAGCTATTGTGAATTTTTCGAAGAAGTCCACATAAAAAAATTCTCTGTAATTAGTACATATTTCCCCAAAGAGATGCATTTTCTTTTTTTGCAAGAGATTTTCACCTATTATGATTCTTTTTGTACATTACTTTCATAAATTTAGGCATCTAGGCACACTTGCCCAACATGGGCATTTTCCCACACTTCCCCCCCCCCTTTTTCTTTTGAACTGCATTGCAAAATTCAGAGCAGTGCAGATTTCAAAGGATAGTTGTGTTCCAGTTCACCTGCTGTTCAGGGAAGTGCAGATTAGGCAGGTTTCTGTTAAAAAGGGGACGTGAGCCAGATCTCTTCTCCATCCTTATTTTGAGCGGCTACGGCACACAATAGCCCTGGGTACAATGAGTTGTCGCAGCCTTACCACTGAGGAGTGAAGACAGCATAGAGAACTGTGTCGCCTCCATGATGTGGAAGGGCAAATACATGCTGAATGACACTGTAAGGTAACTGCCCCTCTGGGGTGCAGGAGAGAGTAGCTTTTACAAATGTCGTCCATTTCTTCTGCAGCAACTTTTCTCCTCCAGCATCATTCTGAAGAGGATGGAAAAGCAAGACCATTGACAAACCAGTCATCTCTTATTTCCTCCCCTGGCCCCTCCTGATCTCCCTCCCTCCCTCCCACTGCCCTCATGCCCTTTTGTTGTTGCAGCATCTTCATTTCTGATGTCCAGTTTATCTGTGAGACTTAACCCCTTTCTCTTTGCTGGCCTTCGGGCGGAAGACAGGGGCAACCTTTTAAGGAACAGGCCCTGGGATTCTCTTATGGCTCTTTGGGTAATCACGATTGCTGTTTTTCCTCTATTAATCCTGCTATTGTTCTTGCTTTCTATGTGCTTGACTGTTTTCATAGAATCACAGAATGGTAGAGATCCTGGGAAGGGAAGAAGCTGGTGCCATCACCGCCCTCCAGTCTCTAGCTCATTCTTCCCAACTCTAGTTATGCCTCTCTGCGATGTTGTACCTTGTGGACAACCCTGTGATATTGACCTTGAACTGTTTCTCAGTTTTGCTGCTGGTTCCTGGTTTGGCCTACGTGGATTCCCTGAACTTGCCCTTGCTCTGTTCGGAGAGTGTGGCACTGGAAGCCCTGTCTTTGCTTGCAACTACTTTTGCCCTGGCTGCTGCCCCCAAACACCACAACAAAGAGAGAAATCTTTACCCAGGTGTGCAGTAGGCACAGGTCTGACAGTAGGCTAATAATAATAATAATAATAATAATAATAATAATAATAATAATAATAATTTATTATTTGTACCCCGCCCATCTGGCTGGGTTTCCCCAGCCACTCTGGGCGGCTTCCATAGAAACCAAAAAACACTAAAATATCATACATTAAAAACTTCCCTGAACAGGGCTGCCTTAAGATGTCTTCTGAATGTCAGGTAGTTGTTTATCGTTTTGACATCTGATGGGAGGGCGTTCCACAGGGCGGGCGCCACTACCGAAAAGGCCCTCTGCCTGGTTCCCTGTAGCTTTGCTTCTCGCAATGAGGGAACCGCCAGAAGGCCCTCGGCGCTGGACCTCAGCGTCCGGGCAGAACGATGGGGGTGGAGACGCTCCTTCAGATATACTGGGCCGAGGCCGTTTAGGGTTTTAAAGGTCAACACCAGCACTTTGAATTGTGCTCGGAAACGTACTAAGGCACAGGAGTCTCATTACAAGAATTTAAAAGCAGGTTCCAGTTTTCATGACTGGACAAAAGCAAACAAAGATGTCTCAACAAGCTGCTGTGCCCTTCCCACCAAGCTATCAAGGACAAGGCATAGCAAGCTTCATTCATGAGGCACTTTCTCCCCTTACAGGAAAGGTGTACTTAAGATGTGTGCTTCATCAAGGTAAGTGTGTCTGGTCCCATCAACAAAGGCAGCCCCAGGTTCTCAGTGATGGGATGGTGTTCTGCCACCCCAGCTCCATCTCAGTCACTCCTCCAGCTTCTCCAAGTCCTTCCCAGTTCCCCAAGAGGCTCTGTTTTGCGGGAGAAGTGGTGTGCAGAGCTAGTGGGTCTGCTTCCCTCTCCCTAACAGCCGGAGTAAAGAGACAGAACCTCCGACCTGAGTTGCCACTCCCTCCACCTTCACCATCATCTGCCTGAGGCTGCCCACTCCAGGCCTGACCCTGTTGAAACCTGGGGGTCATGGCAACTTTCGTGAGAAGATGAAATTCCTGAGACCGGGCCCCCCTGGAGAATAACATACTGTTTGAAGAAGTCTTCTCATTTATCGGGCCCTGAATCTACTTCAGGGGGGTGGCCCTCAAATTTGTAGCAGTATGAAAGAGGGAAATTATCAGTTATTTGAAAAATTTAAATCTGACAAACAAAAGGGGTTCTCAACAGAAATTTCCCGATTCGAATCTGATCTTGTAAATTCTAAAAGAAAAACTCTTTCCAAAACTTACCGACTACTGTCCAGTCAAGGAGGAGGAGGTAACACTGGCAATGGTGAGGTGGTCCCAGGATTTTGGCCACTCAATAACAATGGCCCAATGGGAAAATTTATGGAAGATCAATTGGAAATTCACATATTGTTACACGATTAGAGAGAACTTTCAAAAAATGCAACATCGATGGTATCTAACACCATGGAAGCTTTCAAAAATGTATAAAAATGTATCAAGTAATTGTTGGAGATGTGGAGACTCAGGAACATTCTTCCATATGTGGTGGATATGTAGGAAAATGCAGGTATTCTGGGAGAGTATACATGCAGAACTGCAAAAAAATGCTAAAGATCTCTGTCAATAAAAAACCAGAGGCCTACCTCCTGGGAATAACAGATTTGGATATTCCACAAAAGAGGAAGGGTATCTTTTTATATGCGATGGCGGCAGCAAGAGTTTTGATCGCAGCAAAATGGAAGAGTAATGAAATCCCCTCTATTCAAGATTGGATCCAAAAGCTGACAGAATATGCTGAATTAGATGGTTTATCAGAAAAAATAAAGAATAAATCAAAACAGGAATTTGTTTCTAAATGGGAGGTTTTTAAAGAATATTTGAAAAATAAATATAGTAGTTTAAATTCTGTTGCAGCATTCGAGGAACTTCAGTAATAGTTGTAAGGTAGATATAAGAAATTAGATTTAATGAGAATAAGTTTAATTATGAAAAAGAAAGTGTATTGGCAATAAGTAATATGAATTTGAAGTATGGAATAGACGGGAGGTTGGGTCTTTAGTGTTAAGACCAATAGATGTTTTATTGTTTGCTAAGAATATTATGTGTCTATGGTTATTTTTGTAATTTGTGTATAATTTGGTATTTGTGTTTTTTTGTTTGTTTTTCTTGTTGTATAAATAAAAAACTTTAAATAAATTTTAAAAAAAGAAAGAGGAAAAATTGAGTCTATCCACCACTGCAGCCTTACTGTTGCCTTTTCTTCTAAAAGAGTCAGTGTGGTGTAGTGGTTAAGAGCGGTAGTCTCGTAATCTGGGGAACCGGATTCGCGTCCCTGCTCCTCCACATGCAGCTGCTGGGTGAACTTGGGCCAGTCACACTTCTCTGAAGTCTCTCAGCCCCACTCACCTCACAGAGTGTTTGTTGTGGGGGAGGAAGGGAAAGGAGAATGTTAGCCGCTTTGAGACTCCTGAGGGGGAGTGAAAGGCGGGATATCAAATCCAAACTCTTCTTCTTCTTCTTCCCCCCAAATGCTTGGTCTTTCCATTATATTTCCATTATATTAGCATAATTAAAATTAAATTCTGGCTCCATTTCCTTCCTGGGAAGCTGTCTTTTCCAATTCCAGATATGCTAGGACAAAAGGCAAGGGACAGCCACTCTGCACATGCTCACATCTTACTCCTTTAGACATTCAAGGGTTAAAAAAAGAGGCCAAGCAAGTCCCAGCTCAAATGTGCCCTTGATTTTGGAGGCAGCTCACCTTGCAAATGCGCGCCACCCTCGAAACAACCACCTTTTCCAAGTAGTTGAATTCCTTTGCTGTTTCCGAAAAGAAGAAATAGATTTTCTGATCATCTGGGGCAATTGGGATGTTGATGGAGGCCACAAACGTTGCATCAGCTGCAGAGGGAAGCCACAAAAAGACCAGACATGAGATGCCCTTCACCCTCTCAGTTCATGACCCCACTGGCGTGAATTCCAAAGGGAATGCTGGTTGTTGAGGAGATGCATCTTCTCCAGGCACCAACCTGTTAACTGTCAGGAGCCAGCCAGCAGTAAATCACACTGTGCAAGTTGGTGTTAACTCTTTATTAGCAAAAACAGGATCTGTACAGAAGTGTCAGGCCTAATGAGCACAACAACCCATCTCTGCTAAGTATTGGCCCCATGAAGCAGTTGCTGAGACTGAAAGCTCTCACCTCCCCACAGCTGTCTAAGTCCCTTCATCTCCAGGGTTTATTCCAGGCAATCAGAGACTCTCCTTCACACTTTTCAAGTTTCTTCAGGTTCTGGGAGACAAGTGGGGAGGGGAGCTTGTTGCAGCAGAAGGGGGAGACACCCATGGCCCTTCAGCAGCTGGACTCATCTCTGCCTCTTGGCTCCCCCCTGCCCTGCTTCATCTTCTGCCTCTATTCTGGACTTCTCTCTGTTACAGATTCTTCCCGCTCACTAAGCCCTGTTGCCTCCTCAGCTTCCGACACCTCCTCTTCCCAGTTTTCTCCCTGTGAGCACTCATCTTTGTCCTACCACAACTCCCCGGGCTCTGAGCCTTTTCTCCTTGGTGGTTCCCCAGCTGATTCCTCCCTCCATTCCTCTACGTCCGACCAATCCATTAACGTATCAGCTGCCCAGGTGACCAGGCAGTGGTGGGCAGTGGGAGTCACTGGACTCTATTTGGATGATTAAGAAACTTTCCACTCCCTCAGTGCCCCAAACCTGCTCTTACATTCCATCCACTGCTCTGTCTTCAAAATTGTCTTGCTGCCCAGGGTACGAGTGATGATAGGGTCTATCCCTTGAAAGTCATTCTTGGTAGCTGCATAAAGTTCACCATCTGCAGAGTAAAGACAGGAAAGAAGATGGTTCTTTCCCAGGAACAGTCCCTGCTTTCTGGATTTCTGGTAATACACTGCCCCCATTTTTACCCTGGAGATGCTTGGCTATAGATCTTGGCAGCGAGTGTGCTTTTCTCACCTTGATCAGCTCTCTCCCCAGGACCACTACACAGATATGGCTCATCCCGTTTTGCCACCAGAGGCAAAACGAGAAAGCGTGCCCTGCATATGCCGTATGCCCTCTCCTTGCCGCCCCACAAGTCTTGCGGCTGCAGCGAGATCTCAAAGGGCTCTCATAATATTTTATGACGCTCTTGTGAGATCTCTTCCTAGAAGGTGCCGCAGCTGCTTCTCTAGTGGAGGCAATAGTGTGTGTGTGTGTGTGTGTGTGTGTGTGTGTGTGTGTGTGTGTTGAGGAAGGCCACCCTTGGATTCCACTGCCTGAGGGGGCTGCCTCAGACTGCTTCATGGATGGGCTGGTCCTGACCCTACAAGTTGTATCTCAAAGTGTTTGTTGTGGGGGAGGAAGGGAAAGGAGAATGTTAGCCGCTTTGAGACTCCTGAGGGGGAGTGAAAGGCGGGATATCAAATCCAAACTCTTCTTCTTCTTCTTCCCCCAGAAGCAGCTGCTGCTGCTGTTATTTCTATACTGCTTTATATTTTAAAGAGAGAGAAAATCTCAATGTGGTTGACTACACATCATAATATCAAATGAAACAATCCAGAATAAAACAAATTCAAGCTTCAAGGAAAATATTTCAGATTCTTCTCTGAGTGTTATTTTGCTTTCCCCATATTTATTTACCTACTTGATTTATATAGCTGCCCCATTGCAGAAGTGCTCTAGGAATCCAGTGTGGTGTAGTGGTTAGTGTTGGGGCTAGTCATATATTTAAATAAGAACAAATACCCTTCTAGCATTCAATTAGGCAGGAGACAGTCCGGGGGTTTCCCTCAGAAGGATGCTCTCCAGATGTTTAAGACTACAACTCCCACCTGCCCCAGCCAACACAGATGATTTGTAGTCCAAAAACATCAGAAGGGTGCTCAGTTGTGGGAGGCTGGAAGAGAGCCTTTGCAATGAGTCGTGGGGGCAGGAAAGTGGCTCAGGAGGGGGCATTAGGGGGTGCTGCAAACATTCAATATCAAAGGAAGTGAATCCCTTCCCTTTCCAGATGGCTCACCAACGAGAATTGCTGTGTTCTTATACTTGTTAGTATAGGGGGTGACACCTTTCCCATCCAGGAGGCGGTGGTTGCCGTCTGCATCAGTCACCACAGCAAATGTTTGTAGGTCCTAGCAAGACAGGAAAAGGAAAGGGAAGAGACAAAAAGGAACAGAATGTATGGGATGGTGTGCTTCAGAAACCAAGCGTCCCGATTGCTGCTGAATTTGGGATATGTCATTTCCTGCTAATATCACTATGCATAAATATATCTGTTGCATTTTGAGCACGGGTCTTCTCTTCCTCCAAGGAGTTCAGGGTGCTATATGTTGGTCCCTTGCTTTGTTCTTATCCTTCCAACAATTTCGTGGTTAGGTCAAGAGGGAGTGCTCAACTGGTTCAAAGATGTTCAGTAAGTTTTGTGGCTGGATGAGGCTCAAACCCAGATCTTTCCAACCAAGGGCGAATCCTTTAGCCACATGGGCTCTATGTTTGGAAGATGGTGAGACTGAGCTCTGACTAAACTCTGACTCTTATTCCCCTATTACAGATGGGGGAGATGAGGTGTGAGCAAGAATGGCTTGCTTAAGGTTTGTCTAGCAACTTCATGGTGAAGCAAGATTTGGACCAGGGATGTCTGGTCTTATGGCTCAGCCTCTCAGTCCCTAAGGTAAAGGTAAAGGTACCCCTGCCCGTACGGGCCAGTCTTGCCAGACTCTAGGGTTGTGCGCCCATCTCACTCAAGAGGCCAGGGGCCAGCGCTGTCCGGAGACACTTCCGGGTCACGTGGCCAGCATGACCAAGCCGCTTCTGGCGAACCAGAGCAGCGCACAGAAATGCCGTTTACCTTCCCGCCAGAGCGATACCTATTTATCTACTTGCACTTTGATGTGCTTTTGAACTGCTAGGTTGGCAGGCGCTGGGACCGAGCAACGGGAGCGCACCCCGCCGCGGGGATTCAAACCGCCGACCTTTCGATCGGCAAGTCCTAGGCACTGAGGCTTTTACCCACAGCGCCACCCGCGTCCCATCTCCAGTCCCTAGGCTACTCTAGTTTCAGGGGTGGGTAGGTGGCATAAAGAGTCAACTTCACAGACACCAGGTGTTTTATTACTGACCTGCTACTGTCACTACCCATGGCTTTAGATAACCCAGGGGTAAGCAACCTAAGGCCTGGGGACTGGATGCGGCCCAATCACTTTCTCAATCCGGCCTGCGGACAGTCTGGGAATCAGCGTGTTTTTACATGAGTAGAATGTGTCATTTTATTTAAAATGCATTTCTGAGTTATTTGTGGGGCCTGCCTGGTGTTTTTACATGGGTAGAATGTGAGCTTTTATTTAAAATGCATCTATGGGTTATTTGTGGGGCATAGGAATATGTTCATCCCCCCCCCCACCCAAAATATAGTCCAGCCCACCACATGGTCTGAGGGACGGTGGACCAGCCCATGGCTGAAAAAGGTTGCTGACCCCTGATATAACCTCTTCATTCATTCAATATGGAGACTGAAGGTGTTGCTGTTTATTAATTTATGAGTTTTCTTTTACATATACTTTTCAAGACAATTCACCATCATACGAAGCAGAAGTTGAAATAGTTTTAAAGACAGTATGAAAACAATGGAATGTGAGTTTAAACACAATACAAAATGACCACCCATGATGACAGGCACATTTTCACACAGATAGAAAAGCTTGTCTTCAGCTGTTTCTGGAAAGCACAGGTAGTTGTATCTCAGCAGGAATACTGTTCCAGTCGTGTTTGTGTAGAATCATAGAATTGGAAGGATCACAAGGGCCAAACCCTTGAAATGCAGGAATCTTTTTGCCCAATGTAGGGCTTGAACATACGGTAAGAGAAAGGTAAAGGTCAAGGACCCCATGACGGTTAAGTGCAGTCAAAGGCGATTATGGGGTGGTGCGGCCCTCATCTTGCTTTTCAGACCAAGGGAGCCAGCGTTTGTCCACACACAGCTTTCTGGGTCATGGGGCTAGCATGAATAAATTGCTGCTGGTGCACGGAGGACAGTGACAAGTGCCAGAGCTCACGGAAATGCCATTCACCTTCCTGCCGCAGTGGTACCTATCTATCTACTTGCACTAGAATCATAGAATCATAGAGTTGGAATAGACCACAAGGGCCATCGAGTCCAACCCCCTGCCAAGCAGGAAACACCATCAGAGCACTCCTGACATATGGTTGTCAAGCCTCTGCATAAAGACCTCCAAAGAAGGAAACTCCACCACACTCCTTGGCAGCAAATTCCACTAGTATGCTTTCAAACTGCTAGGTTGGCAGAAGCTGGTACAGAGCAACGGGAGCTCACCCCGTCACACGGATTCAAACTGCCAACCTTCTGATCAGCAAGCCCAGGAGGCTCTGTGGTTTAGACCACAGCACCACCCGTGTCCCCCAACCCCTGAGCCTGGGAGTAAGAGTCCCACTGAACAGGACCAGTCACACTGAAGGCCCTTGTCATCCCCCCCTCTCTCTCCCCCAGGAACTCACAATGTAAGCACAGGTGGGTTTGAAAGCATACGTCCCGCAGATGTAAAGGTGTGTGTCGTTCAGTTGCACCACGACATGGATAAAATTCAAGCATTCCATCTGTGGAGAAGAAGAGGGGGAAATCAGGATTCAACTTCCAGGTAACATTTCTATCCCAGAGGAGGCTTCCACTGGCAGGTTGTTAAAAAGCATGAAAAGCCAGCCCCTTTCCTGCTCTGCAAGCTCAAAAGGGATCTTGAAGGTTTCAAGGGATGGTGGATCTATTTATTTAGTCATAGAAGCATGAAGCAGCAGTGCAGCTAGAAGATTTTAGAGCTTGGATGTAATAGCATTAGGTTAGTACTGCTCCACTTCAGAACGTGACAAGACAGCCTCTCCTGCTCATGCTGCTGAGGCGAGCACTGGAGGATAAGGCTGCTGTGGCAACTGCCGGGTGGGGTGTCTGTGGAAGAGGAGGCGGCTGTGGCTGCAGGAGGGCTGCGCAGGAGGTGGGCTGAAGAGGAGCAGAACGGTGAACGGTGCACTCCTGGGAGACCAGATTTGCCGACTTTCCCAGCTGCCGCCCCTGAGGCAAGTACCTCACCCAGACCCATGAGTGGGCCAGCCCTGCACACAACATTCTTAGGTTGTAAAACTTCCCTTATCCTCTACCCCTCACCCCATTACCTCCTGTTTGCCTTTGAGTTTACAGATGTCCTTTATCTCCCTCGTGGGGGCCCAGCGTACCTATTACAGGAAAAGTGGAAGAAGGGAGCTTTAGAGAAAGATAACAACAACAAGGCTTGTTGCCAAGAGTGCAAATGCTCAGCCTTAAGCTAACACATCTGGGATTTTTTTTAATAAAAAAATACTGTTTCAATGTTGTGTTTATGTATACTGCTTCGAGTTCTCTTGAGAAAAAAAATTAAGTGATTTAGAAATGCTGTTAAATAAGCCAATACATAAATAAATAAAGACTGCCTGTATTTACCAGCAACAGTCTCTGTATTCGAATAAAACGGTAACTAAGTTGACAGAAATGGCAAACTGTGGGGCTGAGCCTTCTGCCTGCGTGCAATAGGGATGGATGAAGCCATCTAGTTTGCTTTCACTCGGTTTCTTACTTTTCTAATCTTAAGTTCAATTCTCCACATTTCTGTATTGATTCGTGCTTTATTTTTCTGAAGTCCTCACAAAAAATGCCAGCGTTTTAGCGCAAGTTTCTCCTAATGCACACATTGTTGTGGGCAGTTTTGCCTAATGTAATACATTTTGTATGTTTACATACACACAGACACAGACACACACACATATACACATACACATACATTTTGCAAACAGTTCTCCTGATTGACACTTTTTGGCTGCAGAACTACATTCCGAAATTCAGAAAAGCGTGAGTTTTGAATAATAGTTGTGCTTCAGTTTGTGCATTGTTTGGGGCAAGGTGTCAGTTGAGTGGGTTCACGTTAAACTGTGAACTCAATTTCTTCCCCATCCTTGCCTTTGCTCTTTCTCTCTTCTCCCCTCTATGATAAATTTGGATATTCCCTGGTGTGACCACACCACAATTTTTTTTATTGCACATCATACCAGGACTATAAACCAACTACAAGCTGTGGTTTCTTTCACACCCGGTTTGGATGGCAAGCACACAAGCCACAGTTTCCTGGTTGGGGTGTCTAACAGCAAACAATGGTTTGGCCAGGGTGAGGGCTGAAACGCAAAGAACTCCAGTGCACATGTAGGAAACCTTTTCAGAAAAGGCTTCCCAACATCTCTCCAAAAAGTGGTGGGTGGGGGGAGACAAGGGCTGTCATCTCTAGAGGCAGTGGCGTAGCGTGGGTTGTCAGCACCCGGGGCAAGGCAAGTAATTTGCGCCCCCTAACCCGTGGATTTGCGCCCCCTAACCCGTGGATTTGTGCCCCTAACCTGTGGATTTGCCCTAACCCCAGATGTTGCGCCCGGTGCGGCCGGCCCCCCCTGCACCCCCCACGCTACGCCACTGTCTAGAGGAGGGCTAACCAGAAGACTACCCCAAGTCTTCCCCCCGCACTTCTTATTCTGAATTGCCGTTTCTTACTCACCATGCCCTTTTGGTTGTTGATTTTAGCTCTGTCAGTGTCAAGAGCGACAACGGTGTCTCTGGCTCCCACATAGAGAGTTTTCCTATCTGTGCTCAGGACAAAAGTGGCACAATCTGTAACTCCCTTTTGGTGGTATTGTGCAATAATTGGTCGAGGGTTCCCTGAGGAAGGGAAAAGATGTTAGGTACATTTCCAGCAAGCAATGCCAACTGACCAGGGGGTGGGGGTGGGAGGTAGATAACCTGGCCTGCTTTTAACCAGAGAGCCACACATTTTGGATGGACTGGGTAACCAGTTCTGGTTTTCAGTGGCTAGTGGAGCTCAGCTTTCTTGCTTCCCAGTCCCCAGAGGCGAAGTCAGGGTGTGCCTTTTGTTCCTTGATGCTGAAGGTGTCTTACAGGGGCCGAACATTGGGTGGTCTATAGGGGTGGGTGATATATCAATATATCATCCAAAAATGGTCTGAAGTCCATATCATGATATCGGTTTCATAATTTTTGACCTGGCTATATATCGTGAATCATGGTGCTTGCGTGTGTGTGTGTGTGTGTGTGCTATGCAAAAATTGCAATGTGAGATAAACTTTGAAGCCAGCCAGTGCCTTTACATAGCTCTGTCCTTATTTCAGGCACTGTGATATATCGATGCATCGCAATGTTTAGTTGGTGATATATATCGCAATGTTGAAAACCACATATTGCCCAGCCCTGGTGGTATATATGTGCATATGCCGCACCTCCGTCCCAAACATGGACAGTGCAAGACATAGCCTGGCGCCATTTTGAAAGAAGCACCTTGAAACCTGGCAGTTAAGAGGGGCATGTGCCGCTGGCTTTGTTAGGGCAGTGTTTGTGGAACTGAGTCACCACCTTTGGAGCATGCACTTTAGCTTCCTAGGATTGATCATTTGGTCCACAGCCCTTGCAGTCAGTGAGATATTGCAGCTTTCCAGGATGATGTCAAGAGTCCAAGTTCTGGACGATGTCAAGAGTCCAAGTTCTGGGCCACCTCAAACTCCTCCTTTCCAACCACCAATACTGGTGCTGGCATCAGACTGGGAACCCTATATGGATGCTTGGGGGCTACGGAGGCCTCAGAGGGGGCGATGAAACACTGGGTGGACACTTGGAAGGAAGGAAGGAAGGAAGGAAGGAAGGAAGGGAAATTGAAAAGTCGCAGGGTGGATCTGAGTCTGGGGTGTCATGCATTCAACGTGCAGCTAGGCACTGTGGAGGGAAGATAATGGGTGGCAGCAGCACAGGTGCAGTGCAGGTAATGCTTTGGTGTCTGTAGCTAGCAAAAAAAGGGGGATGTGTTTCCTGCTGAACAATCGAGTTGCTATAAGCAAATTCCACCAGGGGGAGCAATGAGACCCATTTGCTTTGTTGGCAGTTCATACAACAGCACGTTGATACCTGTTATGAGGTTTGTTGGGGGTGGGGCGTGGGGGCGATGTCAATCTGAATGATGCCTCGGGTCCCTTCCAAACCAGTTACCTTTGAAATAACAGGTTTGGTAGGGTTGCCCTATTTTAAAAAGTAAAAACCAGGACACTCCAAAAGTTGTTTGACTGACTTGCCCAAGATCCAGGACAAAGCACCGCCTTTCGGAAATTCGCCCTGGACGTCAATTCTGCCTTTGAAATCCCAGTAATGTCTGGGAAAATCCAGACGTAGGGCAGTCCTAGGTTTGAAATCTCGCTCATCTCCTTCCAGGCACCCTTTAATATCTCCCCAGAGTGCAGCTTCTGCCTCTGTCTTCCTGTGAGTTACTCACTTATCTGGATGTTTTGCCTCGGCATCAGATCCGTGGCCAGAGCGGTGGCAAATGTCAGGAGGAACCCGAAGAGGCGTAAAGACTGTTTGGGGTTCATGGTTGTCAATCAGCAGGTGGTCGCTGGGATTTCTGCAAGCAGGAGAAAGGCAGCTAATTTGGTAGCTGTCAAGAAATTCAGAAGAAAATAAGGAAGAAGTCACCTCTAAAAAGGTAGCAATGTGTTGCTACACTTCTGAGGCTTAAGGGTTCCCTATGGCTAAGCGAGCCTTTCATCAGCTTCATCTGCTGCACCCTTGACACATATTTGGATTAGGCTATCCTGGGTGGCACTGTGATCTAAACCACAGAGGCTAGGGCTTGCTGATCAGAAGGTTGGCAATTCGAATCTCCGTGATGGGGTGAGCTCCCGTTGCTCGGTCCCTGCTCCTGCCCACCTAGCAGTTCGAAAGCAAAGTGCAAGTAGATAAATAGGTACCGCTCCGGCAGGAAGGTAAACGGCATTTCCGTGCGCTGCTCTGGTTCGCCAGAAGCGGCTTGGTCATGCTGGCCACATGACCCAGAAGCTGTTTGTGGACAAACGCTGGCTCCCTCAGCCTATAGAGCGATATGAGTGCCGCAACCCCCAAGTTATCCGTGACTGGACCTAACGGTCAGGGGTACCTTTACCTTTTACCTTTATCCTGCCACTATAATCTAAGGGTTAGTGATCCTGAGACTGGACTACTGCAGTGTGTTCTATGTGGAGCTCCCCTTGGAGCTTGGTCTGGAAACTCTGCAATCCCACACTTTCCAGTGCATTTTTCAATCACTTTCTTTATTGCAAAAAGTGTATTTGTTGTTTAAGAGTTCCAAACCTTCCTTAATTGTGCAAGCTGAATCTGCCTGAATGTGATTGAATCCCACATGGAAACAGCAATATGCTGGAAGCGACTGTGGAAACTCACTGACAAACGAGTGTCTAATGCTCAAATTTCTCAGAGTGTCAATGCTGAAGGTATACGTGACAACATCCTCAGAGCCCTAGAGAGAATTGAGGAAGATGAATCTCAAATGTCAGGTGCAAAGATCCTGAGGGACATAAAGCACCGTTTGGAGGCTGGTATTTTGTGTGAAGTCTGGAATGATATACTTGAGCCATTCAACAGCTGCAAACTAAGAGGGCAAAGTGCTCAAGCAGAGCTTTTCATGGCCGTAAACCTACCGAGAAGTCTTGGAAATGTTCTTCAAGAAATATGGGGCTATTGCTACAAGACTGCAAAGACTCCTAACGAAAAGTACAAATCAGCAAAAGACAGAAAGCCTGACGCGACTATGCTGCTGCCTATTGCCTACGGATTCAGTGACAAGGTTGTCCTCAGATCAAACAGTAACAAAAAAACCAAGGCAAAATACAAGAAAAAGAAAATTAGGGCAAAGAACCGCTCCCCTAACAGCTAGTGAAAATCAGGCAAAATATATACCAAACAAAAATGCTAGTCCCTAGAAGCATTTAGAGGAAAGAGAGGTAAGCAGGTGAGAATCATTTTCCAGCCAGACATTCCAATGATGATAAAATACACTATTAAAAAAAACCCAAAATATGGGATGGGCCATGCATGGCACCTGAGGGTGCAATGGGTGCCACACTGCAGATCCTAGGAATGCCCTATGGAATCTTAAAGACAACCAGTTCATGGCAGCAGGATTTATGGCTCCTATGTAGGCCTCTCCTAGGTTTCCAACTCTTTTCTATGAGAAGCTCAAAAAAACCTCTCGATTTATAAGCCTCTCAGATGCCACCCACAGGACTCAGGAGGGGGGTGGGATTTAGTAGAGTGGATGCATATGAGACCCCTGGACAATGTTACTGAGAGGAGACTCATAATTTTGCTTTGCCAACCAGAACGAGTTCTCAAAGTGGAGAGAACTAGCAAGACCACCATCTACCAGAAGGAATAATAAATCAGCAGTTAAGTGCACAGAACAGGGAACACTTACAAGGAAGGTAAATTGATATGGAAATGGATTTTGGGGGCGGCGGGAACCTGTACTCCTGCAGGAGGAGAAATCCTCCTTATCCCAAACATGGTGTCTGATGGAGGCCAGGAGAATTTCCAGAGTGAATCTAGAACCTGATGTTTTGGGGGAATAAATGGAAGTCTCTGGAATAAATGCAAAGATTCCTGCCTCCCCTGCTCATCCTTTAAATATCAGTTCTCCAGACCCCCACATCCCCTTTGCCTATCCTCCCCAGGTTCAATTGCTCTTTGCCCAGTTAGGCCATATTCCTCCTCACCACTATGAGCTGAATAAAGAGAATGGAATCCACTCTCAACTCAGAGTATATTTCAGGCCACAAGGTCTTCTCCTTCACCAACACTTACCCTTCCCCCAGGCTCATGTTTCTTGTTCTGACGTCTCTCAGCAAGCCCCAACCCTTTGGTGTTCAGCTTGTCTGTGACATCAAACAATGGCAACCAATAGCATCAGCAGTCAGGAGAAACAATGATTTTTTCCTTTTTGAATGGTTGCTAATCGCCCTGGTTCAAAAGGAACCCTTTCCTATAAGATAATTGCGAATTCAAACATCCGTATAAACTGGCGGCACTGGATGTGCATGGGCTTCTACATTTGTATTCGAAATCGAATCAAACCAGGCATCAAAAAAAGTGATGTCTAGCGCAGTAACTTCTGTATAAAGAGCAATTTGCCAAGTATTGGTATGCCAATAATCCCAATTAGCTAGATCTTCCAAAAATAGGCTACTGAGGCCCAGGCTGCCGTTAGGCGATGTGAAATAAGTTCTTTATTTTTTCAATTCCCTAGCAGTGTCCACTCATAAATTCAAAAGCACTAAAGAAGAAGGTGGATAGGCTGCCTTCTTGGTTTTTATATGAAAACCCATTGTCCGTAGATCTTTAATTTTGGAACAATCTCACCACAAACACTTCTGCGAGGGGGAGAAGCAAACAACAAATGCTTTTTTAAAAAAAATCAAAGGTTTTTTTTACCACACACACATACCTCCAAAGGCTATTAGAAAAAACCCAAGCTGAGCAACCTGATATTGCAGACATTTGGCCTGTTTTAAAAGGACCAAGATAATTGATTGGATTTTAAAACAAAATGGATCAGGCTGCAAGTGTCCCTTTGATTAAGTGCACTGAAGTTTTAAATAAAATTGAGATAGGCTGTGGTGGGAGATCACATTGAGGGGCACCATGGTGCTCTGGGTCTCAAGTGAGGCCTGGCCAGGAGGGACTTGAGATAATTGTTGTTGAGGTAGTGAGAAACACAGCTTCCCCCCCTGCGTGAACTTTCCAGAATTGAGGTGGGGGCCATTGCCATTATAAAAAAGAACAAGGGAGGTGTTCATGGGGAGCTCCAGCACCTCTTTTTCTAGAAAAATAGCTCAGGTGAGAGATGTCTTTGGAGGTGAGCTTGTTCATCATTGTGTAGCAGCACTGCCCCGAGATCAGGGTGAAGGTATTGACCAAGAAGCCCTGGCAGAGCCCAGCTGCCCTTTCACCTTGCAATTTGAGGCCTTCCTCACAGACCCTGAGAACGAGAAGCCTAAAATTGCACACCACACCTGATATCTGGCAAGCTTAGTGGCTGCAGGTAGTGGAGGGTGTGAGGAGGACTAAGGGTTTAGCTATGCTTTAATGCTCAGGGTCCAAGCTTTCCTGCCCTTTTTTGACTTGAGTTTTCCCCATGAAAAGCTGCTCTTTAAAGCTGAATTGGAGCAAATGTCAACGTTTTGCTTCCGGAACAAAGAAGGGCACTCAGATATGGAGCTTTAAATTGTGCCTGGAAAAAGCAGAGGAAAGGCAAGTATGGATAATGAGCCTTCTGACTCAGGTATTGCCTCTGACATCTGCCCCAAGATGAGAATCTGATACAATAATCAAGAGTTATTAACCACTAATACCACAATGCATCAAACCTTTTAATAAAAATAGTACATATAAACACATTTAAAAAAACAAGTTATAAACAACACAATGAACAACAGACAAAACACCCTGTTGGACATGCATTTTCCTCCACTGAGGAGATCAAATCAGGCTGGAGAGAGGTTATGTGTTTTTCTGAAGAGCAATTTGAAAGGGGGGGTCCTTGCTTGAGGTGCTCCACATTTCTGGCTCCAGCCAAGCAGAAAATAGTTTATTTTATTTTATTTTCCTGTTTTCAAACGTCTGTTTGACCAGAGGCAACTGGGGAAGAAATGTGTACCTGTGCATGCCAGCCTTTGCTTACCTGGTGCCTTTCAGATGTTTTGGACTCTAACCAGCCCCTGACAGAGTGGCCATTTCAGACTCCGACTCCCATCAGCCCCAGCCAGGAAAAGCATGAAGCTGGGAGTCCAAAACATCCAGAAGGCATGAGGCAAAGGCTACCACAGAAAATGACAATTTTATCTCTCTCTCCAGCCTCAGCCACTCCAACTTAACAGCAGCTGATAGCGCCATAATCCCCCCCCCCATCTTGGTAAAATGAATTTTGTTGTGGGGGTGAGGAGGGGGGCATCATCTGGATCTCAAGGAGCATGGGAAGCAAAAGCAGCTCTTTAAAAATCCTCCTTATTTGGTGATGAGCAACTCTCTCAACTCGCCACCGGCTGTGTACACACCACACATTTAATGGACACCCTCCCCCCCCCCAATGAATCCTGGGAACTGCAGTTAAGAGTGCTGGGAATTGTAGCTCTCTGAGGTGTAAACTGCAGTTCCCAGGATTCTAGGTATATAGTGTGTACACAGCAGCAGTATGGTGTGTGCAAAGAGCTGTGATATCCTGCATTGCAGGGGGTTGGAGTGGATGGTTCCAACTCCGCAATTTGATGGCTCTGCAAACATGGGAGTCCTTTTGCTTATTCTTCAGAAGGGAAGGATAAATAGGCAAAAACCTGAGAAGTTGTGGGGACAGACTAAGCGATATAAATATTCCTTCCTCTGGGAAAAGTCTCCTAGATTCCACTTCGGTCACATTAAAACATTTAGGGCAGTACCTGTAGTTGTTTTTTAAAGTATACGTTTAAAGATTTCGCTTCCCCCACAACTCAATGGCCAATTATCAATTGATATAGTTAAATTAATTAGCTGGTGAGAAGGTGTACCGACTAGGATTTCCCACCTATCCCTCCTTTGGGGAGAGGTGCCACTCCAACACAACAGTTAAGAACATCACTCTCTTGCATACAAAGACACACAGACACATATATGTACACACAAAGAGGAAAGGTGTGTACAAGGCATGCCAATAGCTGCTGCTTGGAAGAAACAACGCGCCATTCGAACTCAGGTCCTCTTCATACAACATGTTTTCTTCAGTGCAGGCCAAAGACGTTTTAAAGACACACCTAAAAAGGCAAAACATGGACACGACAAAGACTTTTATTTGCTAAAAGATTAATCGTGCAGGTATGGTCATCGTGGAGCAAGCCTTTCCTCTCCCCAAAGTGTACAGTTGGTTGCTACTGTATAACACATGAAACAGCCTTCAGTGGCAACGTTTGTGTCTTCCTACGAGGCATGTCCACATCGCTGAGTCCAGAGCATTAGCACGCTAGCAGAATCACTGGACCTTGGAAGTCTCCAATTCAAATAATTCTTCTTTTAGACCAACAAAAACAATGCAATTCTAAAACAAGGAATACTGCAAGTAGTTTTGCATGCCCAAGGCAATGGCAGTACAGACAGGCCTAGAACTCGGGACAAATTTAGTTTCACACACCTCCCTTCCTCCAGCAACCAAGGTCTGTCCACAAGCAGAGCAAATAGGTCAACAGAGGAAAGTTGTAGGAGCAAAAGGAAGGCTTGAAAGCGTCTGTGAATGCAGTTTTGCTCACTAGAGGTCAGCAGAGCAACATACACGGGGAAAGAAAGATATTGGGGGGGGGGCGCACAAAAAAAACTTCTAAGGAGTTGTCGGTAGGCTCAGTTCCAGGAGCCAAGACTTCTGGCTGACTTTGGAGGAGGAGAAAAGCAAATGGGGAAGGGGGAGTCCCCTCAGGCATCCCTCTGCCAAGTCAGCCAAGGCACCTGTGTCAAGCGGAGACGCGATTTGGCTCTGTGCAGGGCGTTGGGCAAACTCCTTTTGCTGCCCACGTGTCGAAGAGGAATAATACTGACCTGCCTCACGGGGGGGCTGTGAGGCCAAACGCATGTAAAGCACTTTGCAACTGAAAAGGGGGACGAGTTAGCAGTGAGTCTTCTCACAGTAAGCATCAGCATGAGGACCAATTGGCTGCCAGAATAAAACCGCCTTACAGGGGAGTTGTTCCCGTAAGGAGAGTATCCCACATGGAATCAGACAATTGGTGCTACATCACAGCAAAGAAGATGGTGGAAGTTGCCCAAGCTGCAGGGTAGGTATAGCCAATGTGGTGCCTTCCAAGTGTGGTTAGACTACAATTCCTATCACCCGTAGCACCATGTTGCCCACCCATGGTGTAAGGGAGCCCACCGCTTTACCCAAGCAATTTAAAATGGCCTCCACATGTGGGTAGCTCTTATGTGTTGCATGCTCTAGTTCTGGAAGAACGTACAGAGAACGTGGTATGCTGAGGGCAGGGACCATCTTTCAAAGACTCACAGGTTCCGCTTTAGGAAGTAGAAAGGGGGACAAGAATCTAGTCCTTATGGTTGCAAAGGCCATGCCTGAAAAAGTATGTGAGTGATGCCTGTGGAAATCGTAGACGCTGGAGGGGGGTAGGTATGTGCGGAAGATTTCAAGGGGTGGGGAGACACCCTTCAGGCCTTGCATAGCTAATTCTCCTGGCCCACTCAACCCAGAAAACCAACATAAACTATGCAAACATGTTGTGCCTTTTTAAAAGAAAAAAAAGGACCAAAATTGTGGCAGCGAACTTTTGCTTTTTGGCACAGAATTTCAATGGCCCAGCTACGCAAGTACGTATATTATAGGGCAGAGCACGAAGACCTGCTACAAACAGGTGAAAGGGGCCTCTAGTGGTTTCGCAAGGTGTGGAGAAAGACTCCTTAGGTAAGCTATAGAGGGCACAGCTCAGTGGCAGACCATTCTGTCCCAGGCTCAGTCCCTGACGTCTCTGCATAGGATTGAGAGCACCCCTTCTGATACCCTAGTCAGTGTTACTGAGCAGGACGGACCAGTGGTCCGACTCACTGTAAGGCTATTTCCTCTGCTCCTGAGCGCTCCTTGCAGGACACAGAAAGACCTTCCAAACACCTCCCACCTACCCACTTGTTTCCTTTTTAATTTAAAGCAGGCAAAATGGAGACCTGCCACACCCTCTTCATCCACAAATGCGAGTCAGAGGCAGGCCTGGCTTAATCGCAAAGGAAAACCGAGAACCACATTGGGCACAACAACGCACAAGGGCCCCTCTGCTCCAGGGAACCTTGCACAGAATGCCCGGTGGCTCTGTCCTCTCAGTATCCCCATTCTGCGGCCCCAACAGTGCCACTATACTTTGTAGAGCTGCCTCACGATGATCACTGAGCTGCCCTTCTGCATAGGAAGCCCAGTCTTGCATCGCCGTGACCTTAAGAACTGCCACCCTCTCAGTAACATCCTCTGTAACCTCTCTCTCTATGGTTGTCATCTAGGATGCATGACATCCAGGCTGCTACCTCTCCCTGGAGCAAACAGCCCTGACCCAACCACTCCTTGCCACACCTGCCCTTCACTCCTGAGCATCTCCAAAACCCAACAGCTCTGGAGACCAGGAGTCAGCGAGGGGACTCCGCATTCCAGGTTTTGGTAAAAACTTCACAGAGAGGTTTGTGGATTTGGCAGTGAGTGAACGTTTGGGGATGCTGGCCCAGCACCCGATGGATGGAGGTGGGGACACGAAAGCACGACAGGGATTCAGCCAGCGGTGCAACACTAAGCCCTGGGTTTTACGTGGCATTGAACAGACCAGAAAACAGGGAGGGGGGAAATACTGAAATCAGAGGTAACTCTGTGTTTTCTGGTGGTGTTTCAAAAGAGCACCACAGTAGTGCTAAGACTTCTGGTTTTTTTGTCTTTGTCAGGTTGCCTGTGTGAATTTGCTGCAATCGCTAACGGTTGCTCCTGGCAACAGCTGGCAGGGGACAAGGTAGGCCAGGCTAGATCCCCTCCGCTGCCACGACCGCTCTAGAGTCGTCCCCGTTGGCCAAGCCCGAGTCCAAGCGGTTGTTGTCAGCGTCGATGTCCTGAAAGGGTCCCCCCACTTCAACGCAGCAGGTTTTGGAGCTGTCGGCAGCTTCCTGGCAAGGGCCCTGCATCTGGTATTCGCTGCTTTGCGGGGGGATCTGGCTGCTGTTGAGAGGGACCTTCTCTTGCCCAGAGGCCTTACTGGCGTCAGGGAGGCTGCTGCAGCCCTGCACTTTGCTCCTCGCTTTCAGCTTGTCGTGGTAGGAGAAAAAGGCCAACGCTACCACGACGGCCAAGGTCATTGACAGCAGCACCGTCACAGTGACAAACTGGACCCAGTAGGAGCGATACTCCCCCACTGGCTCTCCGTCAGCATAGGATTCGCGGGCTCTGTCCACCCTGGCAGGGGAGTCGTGGGTCCTCACGTGGTAGCGCGCCACAGATTGCTGGTAGCCGTTCTCGCTGGCCCAGCACTCATAGAGACCCAACGTCTCCTCGTGCACAATGATGACTAGGGCCTTGTCATCCTCTAGGATCAGCCTGTCCGGAATCTTCCTGTCTGGGTAGTTCCACGAGTAGTTGGCCAGAGCAGAAGCCTGCGGGCAGGGCAGCCTCACCATGGTGTTGAACGAAGCGGTCATAACTGAAATTTATAGGAAGAGAAACAAAGCTGTGATTCATGCTCTCCACCATTTCACAGATAAAAAAATAAGGATGCATCATTTGTACTTATAGCATGCCTGTTCACATTTCAAGAGTCACCATGTGGGCTTGATGGCTGGCTACACACTGCTGGACACTCTAGCGTTCATGCACATGCATTGGTTTGCATGCGCACTAGTGCACACATCTGCATCTCACGCCCTTAAACATAGCTCTAAGGGACTGCTCCATCAGTGCAAATGTTTCTGCTTGCCTGATGCAACAATCTCCTCTCTCCTCCTGATCCCTCCAGCCAATTTTTTTTTGGGGGGGGTGCAGTGGGTGGGAGGAGAGCCCTGTTTCACAGGCTTCTGCTAGCATGACTGGCTAGCCGAATTTGCTCAAAAAGGATTCACCTCGGAGGGGAGGGAGTTGGAATCTGTTCACACATTGTGGACACGCTAAGTTTTTCTTTAAAAAAAATCATTACCAACATCTCCCTTAAAGACAAAATAAGAACAACAACCAGGGACTGTCCCAAGGGAGCTGGAGAACACAGTGAACATGGGTGCACATGACAGTTTGCTACCCCAAACCCTCTCCTACCCTTCTGCCATAGACAGATCACTGCCCCCAACATAGTCTAGCAAATTTCTCCTCCTTGCTTGAAATGCATCTAAAATCCTTCGGAGCAGCAGAGGTTGCAAAGGTAGTCGACCACAGCCATTGGGATTCCTAACACACATTCCCCTCCCCTATCATTTTCTTGGATGGTCTTCCCAAACGAAACTTGTGTGTGGCTTTAGCAAACGGGCATCTTGCTTTCAAATGCATTGCTTTCGCAAAGCAACAAACAGCCTTGGGAAGTACAAGGCCTTTTGTTTCCGAACAGGGGAAGAACCTTCGCCGATCAATCAAACTCTGCAAGGCTCATACTAAACTTGTTAGCAAACTGCTTTCAGGGCCATTCCGAGTCCTTGGTATGGCTCTGCCAATTCCGCTCTTGGGCTGGCACCCAGGATCCGGCTTCCCTGTCTCGATATTCTGCACCAAGTCATTCCTAGGAACAAAGAGAAGACAGGAAAGTAAGAACTGCCTTACTGGGTTGTGCTAAGAAGCGGGGAAGGACAAATCTGCCCCTTTTGATTTTTCTCAGTTTCCCCATTTTAAATTCAATTTTTCCCATTTCCACATCAGATTGCAATTTCCCCAATTGAGATTCTTTTGGGAATTATAGGGACAGAACTACCTAAAATGTATAGAAACTTATTCATGAATGCTACTACAGAGGCAAGAATGTTACTCGCCCAAAAATGGAAAGAAGAAGTCCCAGCAAGGGAAGAATGGATACAAAAACTTATGGAATATGCAGAAATGGCGAAACTTACCGGAAGAATAAGAAATCAAGATAACAAAATTTTTATAAAAGAATGGAAATGGTTTATTGAATATTTACAGATAAATTGTAAACAGATAAGAACATTGGCAGGATTATTGTAATAACCTGCCATTTTATAAGAGTATATATTTAAAGTAGATGAATAAATGAGCAAATTAAGTTAATTTGGATATGCAGAAGATATTAAAAATAAATTTAAGGAACCACAGAAAGAGGGGGGATGAAGTCAAGTTTTGAAATGTTAAAATGATTGTAAAATTAGTGAAATGTATAAACTGGAAAAGCATAAATACTTTTTTAAAAAACAGCAATTTCCTCTCACAAGTCTACATGATAACTCATACTAATTTTCATGGGCATGTGATTTTGCCTAGTATATGCATTTTTTGCAATAATTTCCCTAATTTAATGCATTCTAGCACATTCTTTTCACTAATAGAAGCCTTTATTCTTGTAAGCATGTTTTGGCTGGAGAACTGCATAACAAAATCTGGAGAAGCGTGAATGTTGAAAGATACGTGCGTTTCAGTTCACATGTATTAGGCAAGCATGTATTAGATAGATTCTCATTAAAAAAGTGTTTTGAATCAAGTCACATTTCTCCCTCATCCCTACTAAGCAGACCAATCCAATGTTTTCTGCTGTGGCCAACCAGAGGCCTCCAAGAAACCCACAGATGGAGCACGAAGCCCTGCATTTTGTCTTCAGCACATGGCATTTGGAATTAGACTGTGTGACTGTCCATGGAGAGCCCAATTAGCTCTTGTGGGTTACAGTAGTTGACAGACTTCTTCTCTCAAAATTTGCATTTTATTTCAGAGAGAGATGGCTACTTCTCTAAGTTGTTAGATGCTAAGGGAGAGAAGGTTCATGCCACCTTGCTGAAGCAGGTGTGGGACAGGTCTGGACAGTACCTGGATAGGTGAGTGCCTATGACCCATACAAACATAGAAAGCTCCTTTATACAGGCTTTTAGTCCATCTGTCTACCAATTCTATCTTGTATGCTGGCTGAAACCCAACCTTCTCGGTTACTGTCTCGCCAAAGTGGTACATGCTCTGGTTATCTCCTGACTGGACTGCTGCAGTGTGCTCTATATATGGCCACCTTTTAAGGTGACTCAGAAAATACAACTAATCCAGAATGCGGCTGCCAGACTAGTGACTGGGAGCAGCCACCAGGCCACGTAACACGGGTCCTAAAATAATTACATTGGCTCCCAGTATGCTTCCGAGCACAATTCAAAGCGTTGGTGCTGACCTTTAAAGCCCTAAATGGCCTCAGCTCTGTATATATGAAGGAGCGTCTCCACCCCCACTGTCTAGGCAAGGAACAGAGATCCAGCTCCAAGGGCACTTCTAGCAGTTCCCTCACTGCGAGATGTGAAGTTACAGGGAACCAGGCAGAGGGCGTTCTCAGTAGTGGCACCCTCCCTGTGGAACGTCCTCCCATCAGATGTCAAGAAGTTAAATAATCATATAACTTTCTGTAGACATCTGAAGGCAGCCCTGTTTCGGGAGGCTTCTAATGTTTGATCCCCTCCGCACTGTATTTTTGTTGGAAGCTGCCCAGTGTGGCCGGAGCAACCCAGTCAGATGGGCAGTGTATAAGTAATAAATTATGATTATTATTATATTGTTATTACTTGTTCAGTAATGTCTGCACTGATTTGGGCAGCGACTTCCCAGGGCTTCAGACAGGGAGTTTTATCCCTGTCCTACCTGGAGATGTTAAGGATTGAATTTGAAACTTTCTACATGCAAGGCAAGTATTCTCTGTAACCACATGCTCACACCTTGGGTTCCATGACAGAAGAAAGGTGGGGGTATAAACCTAAGAAAAATAAATAAATAACAAGGGGAGGAGGGCAGGGGGTGGGATGAGAGGGTATTAAGCTATATCTGGGATGCTTCACAAAAGGAGCACCACAACCCAAAATCGCAGGCTCCAGTGCCACCACAACACCATTAGCATTTAGGGAGCAATTAAGCTGAGCCATGTTGTATCAGACTGAGTTGGGTCCTTGTTATGTACTGAGTGAATAAGATCCAAAATGCAGCAATCTGATTGGTCCTAGAACAATAGGATCCAGAATGCAGCAGTCTGATTGGTCTGCAGGAGCCACCCAATCCAACTCCAGTTGGAAGTGAATCCGCAACCTGATTGGCCTACAGGAGAATCCCGGAATTAGCCAATCACGTGGGGCCCATTGTGTATATAAAACAGACTTTTTGGGGGAACTGGCATCCCTTACTACGATGAGCTGAATAAAGAGCATGAAATCCACACTCAACTCTGAGTATATTTCAGTTCGTCTACCCCACTATCACATTTCTCACAGCAGCCAATCGGATGCTTCTAGGAAGCTTCCAAATAAGGAAGTTCCCTGCCGTTGGTTCCTGGCATCTGGTATTCAGTGATGGCCTGCTTCTGGACACAGAGGTTCCTTGAAGCTATGGGCTTCTTTCACACTCCAGATGTGAAATTTAGCACAGCATAAGCTAGGAAGGGACTTCTAACACCACATTATGTCATCATGAATGGATTGTGTCAGTTATCATGCACGTATTTGGGGGCCCTGTTATTTTTTAATGTGACAATCCCTGAGGGATACTGCAAATACTCACAAGTTCTCTGTAGCACCCCAGATATCTCGGCATTTCTGCCCATCCCAGCCGCAGTAAGGATCTCGCGCTAAAACACAGTTGGCACAGGTGGTGTAGATGCTGCAGTTTGCCAAGGGCACTTGCAGGACTCCTGTGGAATAGCCCACATACAGAATCCCCTAAGAAGGCACAAACAGAGGAAGACCATTGTCATCACCATTCTTATTCTTGTTTCTATCTTTGTGTAGCTATGAGATGGATGTCTGTGTTTTTTTTATGAGATAGGCCCCCTTAAAAGTATGTTGCCCCAATCCTATGCAAGAAAGGAAGCCCACCTTTTCAGGGGAGAGCAGCAGGTTTTGGACCGCCTCTGGCTTCTCAAACAGCTGGATCTCCTCAATGATGTGAGCCTCGGTGCCGACAACCACGGCTTTGTGAAGGGCACCTTTGTCTGTGGAAGACAAAGTATCAAGTGAGACATAGTGCTGGCAGAAGGGTTTGTTAAAATGCAGGCCTGCCCCCATCAAGGGCTCTATGTCCCCAAAAGGGGCATGTAGGCATAGTCATAGCCAAGGGGTGGGGTGGGGAGGGGCAGCTGCCCCCTACATAGTTAACTGAGATTCTTTTCCCCCTAACAAAAGGCCTGAAACCCGCCCCCCCACAAAGATCCTGGCTACGCCCATGCATGTGGGTGAGGGAAACTGACCTCTTCCCCTTTTGCAGTCCACCCTCCCTCATACATGAGGTACACTTCCACTTTCAGAGCCCTAACTGTGTGGCAGGGGGTTGCCTTTCTGTTGACTGACAGAAAGTAAGCCACAGGACTGGGGGTGGGGGCTGTTCTCTCGTGCTGCCCCTCCTGACTTCAAGGGGAAATTAGGCCCTGAGCAGAAAGAGCTAAGATGGGTGAGACTTGGAAAGATGGACAAAGGCGTCTGCAATCCCACCATCAGCTTTCCCAGCTTCTCATGGGAGAAGGTTGTGGTTCCTACATTGCAGGGTCCCTTTGGGTCCCTTCCAACTCTGCGCTTCTATGATTCTATGAACCTTTAGCACATTATCTGGTGACCTTTGACACGATGGACGTGACATGTAGCTAGCTTCTGGGAGTGGTGGCGCCCACCCTGTGGAATGCCCTCCCACCAGATGTCAAGGAAATAAACAACTATCTGACTTTTAGAAGACATCTGAAGGCAGCCCTGTTTAGGGAAGTTGTTAACGTTTGAAGTTTTATTCTGTTTAATATTCTGTTGGAAGCTGCTCATAGTGGCTGGGGAAACCCAGCCAGATGGGCAGGGTATAAATAAAACATTATTGTTGTTGTTGTTGTTGTTGTTGTTGATCAAAATGCTTGCGATCAATGCTGTTCAGCTCATCAGTTGGTTAAATGTTGCAGCCCTTGTTGGGTCAAAGGGAATAACGAGGTGACAAAGCAATTAGCTCAATCTCTACCACCAAAGCAAACAACAACCACCCATACCTGTCCCAAGAAACATCACGTTGTAGGGATGTCCCAAGCTGTTCTGAGTTTGGTGCACCACAATCCGGGTGTATTTAACGTTTTGCTTCACCAGCAGAGGTTGGTTATGGGTCGGCTCAATCTTCTCATCCATCAGATAGTGGTCTTTCATGAACGTCAGAGCTTTGTCTGAAGATGGGCCGACAGAGCACTGCAGGGAGAAGAAGCTCAAACATTATAAAAGATAGGAAGCTGCCTTTGACTGAGTCAGACGATTGGTTCTTCTAGCTTTTTACTGTAAAACTATACAGTGGTATCTCGGTACCCGAAAGGTTTGGCTCCTGAACACATCGGCTCCTGCAGCCAACCGGAAGCCGTGCCTTGGTTGTCGAATGGCTTTGGGGGTCAAACGGACTCCCAGAACGGATTAAGTTCAAGAACCAAGGTACCCCTGTACTGAGCGGCTGCCCTCAGAATGGCCAGTGGTTTGCGATGTTGGAAGCTGTCACCCAACGACTTCTGGAGAGCATCACGTCAGCTACCCCGGATCTATACTGACTTGCAGCCACCTGCAGCCAGAGATTCAGGCAGGGGTCTTTCCCAGCCTTGCCTGGAGATGCCAGGGATTGAACCTGGGGCCTTTTTCCAGGCAAAGCTGGCCCTGAGCTATGGTGCCGCAAAAAGCCAACAGGGTGACCAGGAGCACCACTTAGTTCTTTCCGTAATAATTAAAATATTGTTGTAGGTTTGTCGGGTTGCTCTGGATTATATCTGTGGGTCCCACCAAGCCTGTGATTTAGTAATGAGGAGCTTAGAATATAGCAGAGTGAACCTGCTGAACTGGTCAATCCAGTCTTTTGGTTAAGACAATATACCCTGGCCAAGTAGCTTATCTGCATGTGCAAATATGTTGGTGTTTTGTCACAGAAACAACTGAGTGGGTTTCCCCCACCCCTTCACCTGGCTAGGGGTGACATGATCTTGTAGTTATGAAGATGACAGCCAGGGCTAAAGTGTCTGTGAATCTGGAAGGTGCTGGGAGTTGGAAGGACATATAGAGGCTTGAATTGCTCTGTGTTCTGAATCGAAAGCTTTGGGGACCCTCCAAAGGACACCTACAGCTGACCAAATGCCATAAGAGAGAAAAGGGCTGGAACTGGGCAGGACAACAGAAGGAATAAAATCTTATCTTGCGACTATTGCAGAAGAAATAGATCAACATCATGGAAGGAACCTTTCGTCTCTACACCCTGATTTTGATAGGTCCACAGCTGATCTAGGTGAACTGGGAGGTCACCACTATTCAGTTGGTATCAGCACTATTCCAGGTACAGTGAGATACTCTCCTCGCCTGACATTACTTTGACATTGTTGCACAACTGAACAACCCCTCCAGGTGAACTCATGACCAACAGTGCAAACCATTTTATGGCAGCAAAATTCCAGGCATGCTGGATACATAACACCTTTTGCCATGTTACCACCAGTCCAAGCATATGGAGAGGCAAAGAGAAAGGTACAGAGGGGACAACAAACCTTAAGACAACACGGCCCACGTATTGCCCTTTTTAGCTACATGATTTGTTTTGGATACACCACTGGATTTGGCCCAGGAGTATTGCTGATGGGAAGAACATCCATTCCAACCTGGGGAACAGTTGCCTCTTCAGTTTACCAGGGAGTTATGGCTGCCTTTCTAGGGCCTGTTCAATTTGGTGCAAGAACTACATTTAAAGGCAGGAAAGTTTAGATCAAACTTGATTAAGAAGAGGGCAAGGCAGACCCTGGCTTCAATGCAAGGAGAATGCTAGGAGCAATACATACACTGCCAGGACGAGGGTTCATGGCCTGGCCATTGTAGGTCATCCATCGGGAACAGTCCTTGTTCAACTCCTTGTATTTCCCATCAAAGGCTTTTTTGATAGCATCGTGCCTGAAGGCACACACCGCTGAGCTCCCAAGATTTCCTGCCTGCCTGCAAAGAAATATACAAGGCAGTTGCCCCACTAGAATTTTGCATATTCTCTGAGGCACATTTATTTATCTCTAATTAGCACAATGCTAGACCAAAAATGAATTCTGAAGTAAGAGTGGATGATCTGTCAATTTCAACTTTTCTCAGTTTCTCATTTTTCCAGTCTCAAGTTTAGCTTGTTGCATTTGCACATCAGTTTGCCTTATTATATTTTTCTAAAAAGGTCTGTACAAGCATTTGTCAGCATTTTAGTGTGCAGTTCTCCCGACACACATTTTTTTTTATAAACAATTTTGCCTAATATAATTCCTTTTGGCTTCTTGCTGTCAGTAAGATATGCAATTTGGGGCTGGAGAACAACATTGCAAAATTCAGAGAAGCACAAGTTTCGAAGGATAGTTGTGTTTCCAATTAATTTAATAAAAAAGAAAAAAATTGAAAAATTGTCCAGTAGCACCTTAGAGACCAACTAAGTTTGTTCTGGGTATAAGCTTTCGTGTGCATGCACACTTCTTCAGATGCCAATTTAATGTTTTATTTAATGTTTGGGGAAGTGCAGATTAGGGAGGCTCCCGTTAAAATGCAGACCAACCCAAATTTCTCCCCCACCCTCACTAAGACTAAGACCCTCACAGCCTTACCACTGAGAACCGAAGACACCGTAGAAATCAGCACCACCTCCTGGCTGTGGGAGGGCAAACATGTGTTGGATGACGGTATAAGGGAACTGCCCCTGCTGGGTGCAAGACAGCTGAGCTTTCAGAAATGTGGTCCATTTCCTTTGCAACACCTTGTCTCCTCCAACATCATTCTAGAGAGGATGGAAAAGCAAGCATCACTAACAAACCAGGGAGACAATTTAACCCCTTCCTCGCTTACTCACTGTTGGCCTGATAGCAGACCAATTGAAGGAGTAGACAGTGGTATCTCGGTTGCTGAATATCTCGGAAGCCGAACGTTTCGGTTTCCGAACTGTGAAACCCGGAAGTAAATGCTTTCATTTTTGAATGCACCTCGGAAGTCCAATGGCTTCCGCTGAGTTTTCCCCCAATTTTCTTCATGGACTTTGCAGACCGCCCTTTTGTGCCTCGGTTTTTGAACATTTTGGAAGTCGAATGGTCTTCCAGAATGGATTATTATTATTATTATTATTATTATTAACCTCCCCTTCACCCTCAGGACCCTAAGTAGCCCCTGAATTGTCTGATGGGTCTCTCGGGATAATCAGATTGCTGGTTGTCTGTATTAATCCTGTCAATTTTACTGTTTGCTTTGTTTTACTGTTTTATGCAATGTTGCACATTTTTCTCTTGATTTTATAATGAAACCTGAATCACGATGTATTAAACAACAACAGTGGTAAAAGCATATGCTTAGTCCTCACACTGAGGATATGCAATGTGACTTTTCTTCCCATTTATTTAACTATTTATAATACACACTTGAAAAGTTGTGCATTGTGCCTGTGTGAAGTTTGCCACCTATGATCTGGAGTCAGGTCTCAGGTTCAATCCCTGGCTGTTCCCTACATGGATGCCCTGCTTCTGGGCTTCCCAGAGGAGTCTGGTTGACCATGGAGAGAAACAGCAAGATGCTGGCATTGGGATGTAAGAAAGCAGCGATTTCCCCTCCAAACTGCATTTTGTCACAATCAGCGCTGCTTCCATTCCACTGCAGTTCAGATTTCACCAACTACTATGTTATTCATCTTGCTGTCTGCTGTTTAGTGTAAGTTATGTAAATTGCGAAGTTACATTCATCGCAATGTAAAAGAGGAACGTTAAAACAATGTTTAATAAGCCATTCATTATATATTGTTTGTGTGCTTCAAAAAACCCAACAAAATTATGTGAACAAGTATGGATAGAATTCGCCTGACTGATTTCCATTCCTGGCCACAGACGGAAGCACAGATTGCAGCAATTTTCACTTCCTTTTCAACTTTCACCAGCGGTTTTTGATATCCCTATGCTAGAGTCATTAGATCAACCTTCCATAGCTTGCAACCCTACAAATGTTCACAGAATACAGTGGTACCTCGGCTTAAGAACTTAATTCGTTCCGGAGGTCCGTTCTTAACCTGAAACTGTTCTTAACCTGAAGCACCACTTTAGCTAATGGGGCCTCCTGCTGCCGCTGCACCGCCACTGCACGATTTCTGTTCTCATCCTGAAGCAAAGTTCTTAACCCGAGGTACTACGGTATTTCTGGGTTAGCAGAGTCTGTAACCTGAAACGTCTGTAACCCGAGGTACCACTGTAATAAAATTGTAGAGTTGGAAGGGATTCAAAGGAACATGCTGCAATGCTGGAGTCACTGGCCCTAACTGTACAGCCAATGGACAGTGATAATGGCAGTAGTAGTACAACACCCCTAATTGCTTTTCCTATCTTTAATTCTGAATTTTAAATTGTTGCAACCTGCCCTTTGACCTGCTGGTGAAGGCTAATAAATGCAATGATGATGATGATGATGATGCTACTTTTACTACTACTACTACTACTAACATCTGGCGGGCATCAGTTTTGGGAAAGCAACCCTAGAAAGCCATCCTTTCTGATTTAGCAGAAGCTCCCCTTATGTTCTGGTCTCCAGTTAAGAGATTTCAGGAAGGATGGATAGGAGCAAGGGCATGAAAGCATCTGATATTCAGAGGGAGACTGAACACAGAAGTCCTATGTAATTGCCACTGGCTGACCTAACCTCTGTGAACTTGTCCAATATTTTTTTTAAAAAATCCAAAACTAAAAACTATTTAAGCTACCAGCCATCAGTACATCTTGTGCCAGTGGATTCTCAAATTACACTTCGTCCTTTCATTTGTCTGCCCCAAATCTGCTTCTTATAATTCAAGCATTACAAGAGGGGAAGGGAAAATCATTGGCAGTCCACTATTGTCCAAAAGTGAATAAATCTCTATTATGTCTCCTTGCTCCAACCTACCAACCTTGGCCTTATTGTTGTCTTTTTTTGTAAAGGAAAATCCTTTCCAATATGTTAGCAAAATAATTAAAATTAAATTCTGGCTCCAGTTCCTTCTTGGGAAACCCTCTTTTCCAATTCCAGATATGTGATGAATGAAGGCAAGGGAGAGCCACTCTGCACATGCTTGTGTGTTACTCCTTCAGACATTCAAGAGCTAAAGCTTTGCCACGGAAAATATATTCCTGGGGCTGAGCCCAAGCAAGTCCCAGCTCAAAAGCTCCCTTGATTCTTGAGACGGCTCACCTTGCAGACACGAGCCACCCTGGAGACGGTCAGTTTCTCAAAGAAGTCAAACTCCTTAGCTGTTTCCCCAAAGAAAAAGTAGACTTTGTCATCGACCGGGATGTTGAAGGAGGCCACAAAAGCTGCATCACCTGGAGAGGGAAGCCAGACATGAGATCCCCTTTGCCCTCCCAGTTCTTGACTCAGCTGGCGTGAATCCCCAGGCAAAAGCTTGTTGCCTAGGAGATGCATCTTCTCTGGGTACCAATCCATTAACTTATCAGTTGCCTAGGCGACCAGGCCATGGTGGATGGTGGGAGTCACTGGATTCTAGTTGGGGGTTGGACTAAGACCCTTCCCCCTTCCCCAGTCCTCCGGTTGTGCTCTTACCATGCAGCCAGTTATCTGTCTTCAAAACAGTCCTGCTGCCCAGGGTGCGAGTGATGATGGCCTCGTTGCCTTGAAAGTTGTTCCTGGTACCCGTGTAAAGTTCGCCATCTGCAGAGTAAAGGCAGGAAACAAGATGATTCCTTCTCAGGAACAGTCCCTGTTTTCTGGAGTTCTGGTAATTCACTGCCAGTCAGTATGCTTTGCTAACTTCCCCACCCTTCAGCTCCCTCCCCAGGGCCCATAACAGTTAAATCTCAGAATGGGCATCTCATCTCCAGTGCACATCCCTGGGAAAGGCACCAGCATGGGTCCGGGCACAGCACAGGCCTCTATTGCCAGCTGGTCGGGGCTGATGGGAGTTGTAGTCCAAAACATCTGGAGGGGAAGGCTGGATTAGAGCCTTTAGTAATGTGTCGCGGGGGACAGGCAATGATTCTGGGGTGTTACAAGGGCTCACCGACTACAATTGCTGTATTCTGATGTTGAGGGTCAAAGGGGCAAATGCCCTTCCCTTCCAGGAGGAGAGGTTTGCCATTTACATCAGTCGCCAGGGTAAAATTTTCCAGGTCCTAGCAAGCCAGGGAAAGAAAGGAGGAAAAGAATATATTGGAAAGCATCCTTCAAAAAGCAAGCATCCCTATTTGCTGCACAATTTGGGAAATGTCATTTCTTTCTAATATAGTTTTGCATAATTCTTTTTGCATAATTATATTTATTGCATTTTGGGCATGGGTCTTTTTTTCCTCTAGGACGCTCTGGGTGCCTTATGTGTATCCCTTGCTTTGTTCTGATCCTCTAAACACCTTTGGAGGTTAGGTTAGGTCAAGCAGTTCACAAATGTTCAGTAAGCTTTTTTTGTTTTGGTTTCATTTGATTTTTTCATCAACTTCATCATCATCATTTATTATTTCTACCCCGTCTATCTGGCTGGGTTTCCCCAGCCACTCTGGGTGGCTCCCAATAGAATATTAAAAGCACAATAAAACATCAAACATTAAAAACTTCCCTAAATAGGGCTGCCTTCAGATGTCTTCTAAAAGTCCAATAGTTGTTTATTTCCTTGACATCTGATGGGAGAGCTCTAAGAATCAACCAAACTTTTATTGTTCTCTCCATGCTGCAGATGGGGGAGTTGAGATGTGTGCAGGAACAGCTTGCCTAAGGTTCATCTAGCGACTTCATGGCAAAGCAAGATTCAAACCAGGGATCTCTGGTTTTTTGCCTCAGCCTCTTAGTTACTAGGCCGCTCCAGTTCAGGGGTGGGCAGGTGGTACAAGGCATCCATTGGGTCTCTCGAGGCAGTTATAGTTCAGGGGTGCAGCATAACAGTCTGGAAATCCAATGGGTGCTCCCCTGGAGATTAGATGCAACATCACAAAGGATGCAGAGGTTTTCGCCAGTCCGGAACTAGCCAATGTGGCACCCTGCAGATGTTGGACCACAAGTCCCATCAGCGCCATCCAGCATAGCCAGTGGCTGGGAATGATGGGAGCTGGAGTCCAACAACTGGCAGAGGGCACCACCTTGGCTACCCCTTGCTTAGTTGCTAGCCTGGTGGAGCCTGCCCCCTTCCCTCTCTGCCCCAGGAACTCACAACATAAGTGCAGGTGGGGCTGAAAGCGTACGTCCCGCAGGCGTAAAGGTGTGTGTCGTTCAGCTGCACCAGGACACGGATGAAATTGAAACATTCTGTCTGTGGAGATGAAGAGGGGAAATCAAGATTCAGCTGCCACTTAAATTTGCACCCCAGAGGAAGTTTAAAATCTAGCAAAGCCCCGCCATCAGTTAGGATTGGTAGGCACTCCCGAAGAGTGCCTTTTGGTGGTGGCTCCCAACAGTTATGGCACGAATTACCTGCTCAGGTCTGACAGATTCAAGAGCTTTATATAGACCCCAAATTTCTATTTATCCAGACAAGTTTTGGCCTTTAGTTTCAAGTATGGGAGGTTGCTGCCCCCCCTTCTCTCTCTCCCCCCCCCTCTCTCTCATGTTTAATCAGCTTACAGTCAAGACTGTCTGTTTGTTTTTCATTACTGCTCCTTGAGGGTCTCTCTTGTCCAAAGACAAGCTATAAATTCCCCAATAAGCAAATGAATAAACTATCCACCAGGGGGAGCGACACTTGTGCATAATTCTGCTTTGACAAGTGCCCTGGGTGATTCGAAATACATCGGCAAGGATTTAACAATGGCAGGATTTAACAATGGCAGGAACAAAGACCCCCACCCACCCCTTAAATTATACTGTTGGTATGAAGAAAGGGGGGGGGCAGAGCAAGCAGACCAGGAATCTCTCTCTCTCTCTCTCTCTCTCTCTCTCTGTGTGTGTGTGTGTGTGTGTTTATGGACTGTGATCTCTATTCAGTTCTAGCACTCAAAACAAACTCCTGGGCTCAAAATTCTCTTAACTATCAATGTGCATGGTTTGCACCTGGCACCAGTGGATCTGAGAGAGCAAGTAATCCCCTCATCTCCAAAAAAACAGACACCCCCCCACCCAGAGTAGATCCCACAATCCTGAAGCCATTTTAGGGTGTGTTAAGCATACATCTGGACTGCCTTGTTCCTCCCTCGCCTGGCCCCACAGAAAATACCAATTTGAGGGCACACTAGACATAGCACAGGAGACCTGCAAGCAGAACCACCCCTGGTTTTATACTGCTGCTTCTTGCACAGCTGAGTTTCCTATATCTTACCCCCACCCCCACCCCATGGGTCAGGCAGCTGTTTTGGAGTGCAGATAGGGACCAAAACCAGCCAAATGCAGGAGGAAAGAGTTAAGCTCCCCCTTCGTCAGCACCATGGTCACCGGCCCTGATTCAACCCCCACTCCACTCAGGGTCTGCTTTTATATTTGCTGCACGCAGACACACATACACACAAAGTTATAATTCCTAAGCAAGGAAATAAAGCTTCACACACAGAGAGACACAGACATATCTTACCTCATTGCTTTTCTTCTTGAAGACACACTCAACCTTTTTTGTGGCTGTGGGGCCCCACAGTATCTATCACAGGAAAAGGGAAAGACTTTAGATAGTAGTAGTAGTAGTAGTAATTCTCTGATTTTCTGATTTTTCCAGACTAAAATTCAATTCTCCACATTTGCATATCCCTTTGCGTTATTTTTTTTAATGCCCTCGTGAAATTTGTCAGCATTCTAGGGCTGATAAGCAAATTGCAGTATGCCGTTTCCTCTAATAATATAGTACATTTTTTGCATGTTATTTCCCTTCCCCTCCCTGTCCCAATACATGCTTCTTTATGCCCACTTAGAGAAACGGCACCACAACATTTGGAAAAGTGCCAGTTGTGGCACATTTCTGCTATCCCCAGTCTGCCCCTTTTAAGATTCTTGAGTCTTCCTAGTTCTCTATTATCTGTAAACGGAGAAGTCCTGTCCACAAATTGAGATAATGTTGCGGTTTTCAGTAGGTGGCTTATTCCCACCTTACAGCCACCTGTCTCTGGCCTCTGGACATTATTTTGGTGAAGGTGATCAGCTGGCTAATTCTGCTGGTTAAACAGGACCTGGGATGGCACCTTTTTAAGAGAGGGCTCCTGTTATATAATCCTGTGGTCCTCAATGCGTTGGACCATGAGTGCAGAGGGCCTCCACCCCCATTGTTCAACCTGGACACTTAGGTCCTGCTCTGAGGGCCTTCTGGCGGTTCCCTCACTGCGAGAAGTGAGGTTACAGGGAACCAGGCAGAGGGCCTTCTCGGTAGTGGTGCCTGCCCTGTGGAATGCCCTCCCATCAGATGTCAAGGAGATAAATCATTATATGACCTTCCATAGACATCTGAAGGCAGTTCTGTATCAGGAAGATTTTAACATCTGATATTTTGGTGGGTTCTTTTATATTCTATTGAAAGCAGCCCAGAGTGGCTGGGGAAACTCATTGAGATGGGCAGGGTACAAGTAATAATTAATTTATTTTTAACTCTACACAGTAAGCTCTTAACTTACATGCATTTAACTTGTGCGCATTCAGCTTTACAGGCTTGGCACAAAAAAAGGGGGAATTAAGAAGGTGGTGGCAAGGGGCAGGGCATCTGGGGTGGGAAAGAGTTTGGCAATCCCACCCACCATTGAACCCTATGTCTTGACTATACGCAGTTTTGCCTTTAGGCACAATCCCCCGGAACGCAACCCCCACAGAAGATTCCTGTACTTGAGGTGTCCAGAAACCTGCCTGTAAGGAACCGAAACAGTTTAGCTAGACCTGGCTTGAACTGCTTCGTTTGTTTTTGACGTACTGTTCTGCTTTCACCTTTGCACTCTTTCCTCTTATTTTCTATCTGAGTCTAAAGAAATTCTAGGAAATTAGTTCTTGCGGCTAAACTCAAAGAGCATTCTTCCCCCTCATGAGCCTAGGACCCTTTGGTTCATGATCTTATAACGGCAGGCTTTGCTGGGCAAAAGTAAGTCATGCTGGTCTTGAGGAAATGAGAAGGGGAATTGGTGCCTAGCCCTGCTTCTCCTTGTATTTCTTTGGGATTCAAAGAAATCACCACCCCCTGGGGGTTGAGCTTTCTAAAGAGATGAGGTGGTAGCTATGTGAGAGGGGGCAGAAGGCTTGTCATCACCAGAACACCATGTCAGACCCACCCCCCTCATTTTCCTCCAGCACATCTTATCTCAAATCCCCATTTCCCACTCACCTCACCCTTCAGCCTGATGGAGTCAGGGCTGCCGATGTCAAGAGCAAGGATAGCATCTCTGGCTCCCACATAGAGAGTTGCCCCGTCTTTGCTCAGGAGAAAAGTGTCGTAATTCTGAACCCCCTTTCGGTGGAATGAGAAAACTATTCGGCTGGAATCCCCTGAGGGAGGAGAAAAGATGGTTAGGTTCATTTATTTTTAGAACACCTCTTCAGAAATTATTGTGACCCCTAAAGTTATGGGTGGCTAATAATCTTTGTAGGGGGTGGGGCAGCATCATCCACCCATAGCCAGCCTTCTGGGGTAGACATGGCCAAAAGTTGGTGTGGTCACACAAACCACTTTCTGTCTTTCTCACACACATACACAGCACACACAACCCTTTTCCCCAGCTGAGCTGTGCAAATCAGTGAGGAGGGGAGGTCATAACCCCCCTCCCTGCTCATGAACTGATCAAGTGGAAGACTGGAAAGCAGGAGATTTGCATCTCCATCAGGGGACTGAGCTGGGTGGAGAGGGTCAAGCTTCTTTGCCACACACACACACACACACACACACACACACACAAACACACACACGTTCTGTGTCTACTCTGGTGGCAGGGGCAGTAAAGAGGAAGGAGGGCTGGTTTAGCTGGTCTGCTTGACTTCATTCACTCTCAAAGTACAGACCACAGCCTATACAGGTTGCACCCTCCCTGTGCAAAAAATGGGGATAATAATTGGCCTACCTTACAAGGGTGTCGGTAGGTTTACAATGATGAGAAGTGTTAAGTTTGAAAGCAGCAGCAGATAGGTATTCTTATTATTAAAAGTGTTGTCTTTGACAAAGGGTAGAGAATTTTTAAAGTCTGGATCTGTGATGATTTTTGGGTGAGAAAGTGAAAAAATACTAGGGAGAAAAAGAAGAAACCAAATCTTGGCAGCCACGTGAGCCAGTGAAATGTGTTGATTAGAGTTGTCAGACTAAGAGCTCAAAGACCTGGGTTCAAACCCCTTCTCAGCCATGAAACTCTCTGGGTGACCTTGACTTATCTCTCACTCTAGCCTACCTCACAGGGTTGTTGTGGGGATAAACTGGGAGGAAGAGAACCATATATGTCACCACGAGTCCCTAATGAGAAAAGCAGGGTGTTCATGTAGCCATAACCTGCTCCATGCCAATCCTTGCCCGCTGCAGCCATCCTGAGGCTGCTGGATGTGGAAATGGGGAAGCAAGCAAAGTGCAATGAATGCCCACACTTTTCATTCTAACAAGGAGGAAGTGAATGCAGTCAGGGCTGTCTTAAGCATATGCGGGGCCGGGGTGCAAAGATCCGCCCCACCAGCCCAGGGCAACAAAGCAGCCCGAGACGTCAGCATCTGAACTGAGCAAAGCCGGGCACCTCATTCACAGTACTGAGGAAAAGAACCACCAGTAATGTTTCCCTGTTCACCTAAAAACAATGCTTATATGTCAAGAAGAATTATGGGATATCCTCACTCAGGAAGAGCTCTGCAGCATCAGACTAAGAGCCCATCTAGTCAAGCATTCAGTTCCTACAGTGATCATCCCAGATGTTTTGGGAAGCCCTTGTGCAGGACATGAGCACCATAGCCCTCTCTCTGTCATTCCCCAGTAACTCATTTTCTGGCTGCATACACACCAAACATTTAAAGCACTTCTGAAGCACCCGTCCACTCAAAACGAATCCTGTTAACTGTAGTTACACATCAGAGTGGTATTTTCAAGCATCCTTCAGTTCCCAGGATTCTTGTAGTGCGTGCACACGTTAAATGTGTTTTGAAGTATGGTGTGCACACAGTCTCGGAGGCATGCTGCCTCTGGCAATGGAGATCATAGAATTGTGGAGTTGGAAGGGACCCCAAGAGTCATCTAGTCCAACCCCCCGCAATGCAGGAATCTCAACTAAAGCATCCATGACAGATGGCCATCTAACCCCTGCTTAAAAACCTCCAAAGGACTTTTGTTTTCCTCAAATTCCTGGGCAACGCCTGGCACTTCCCACCTGGAAATACTTAAATCTAGTTCTGCATCACACACCAGATACTCTAGGAAGCCCACAACCATGACAAGACAGCCACCCCAGCAACTGGCATTCGGACAAACACAGAGGTTTCTAGGTAGCTGTTATAGCTAAAAGCCACAACATGCCTTTCATGAACATGTCACACACATCATCTAAGTCTGTAGCCATCATCACATCTTGTGGCAACAAATCTCATAGTTTAACTATGTACCGCAGGGGCAGATATTGTGGCGCACCCCATATTATGTTGTTGAAGTACAATTCGCATTAGCTCCTACCAGCCCCCCATATCCGATGGCTTGGGTTGGTGGGAGTTGTAGTTCAACAACATCTGGATTGTACTGGGTGAATAAATTTGTGCCTATGAATCTCCCACCATTGTGCTTCATTGGATGACTAGTGTTACGGAAGATGTGCAATGACGGCGATCCCATCCCTGTGGCTGTTAATTGCCTACATTCATTAAATGCTACGCAAGGTATATTTACATTGCAAGCGTATGCATGTCTACACGGAAGTGCACCCCGTGGTATTCAAGCGGACTTGCTCCCAAGCACACGGACAATCGCAAACCTCAGGCTACCTGCCTATTCACTGGTATATCCCGCTGAAGAATCCCACACGGGACTTGGGAGAGGACGGCACTGTGAAGTTGCAATGTGATACACACTTTACTTGGAAGTCATGAGGTTTCCTTTCTGAACAGGTAGCTCCGGGGCTGCACTATACACAGATCGCAAAACAAAAAGGCTCCACAAATGCAAAACAAAAGGCACCCCCGAAATGCCTTTTTTTGCCCGCCAACCTCTCAGCCACACGAGACCAGCCCGACCCCGCTCATTCTCCTCTTTGCTGCCCCCCAAGAAGCCCCAACTTCCAGCATCCCAGGGCCACCACCAAGTCCCGATAGTACTTTGCGGCCAGCAAGGCCGCCACCAGTGCCAAGGCCAGGCCCAGCCAGGGCAAACACAGAAGAGGAAAGCGCTGGGAACTCCCGCTGCTGGCCTTGCGGGGCGCCGTTTCTGGTGGAGCACGGGGTGGCAAGGCCTCGGGGGGGGGGGGGCCTGCGGCTCCCCTCTTCTCCCCGGGCCCCAGACTCCTGGCCTGGTGCCCCTGAGAGCCCGGCACCCTGGCGCCCTGCACCACTACGGCCTATGGGTAAGACGGCCCTGAATGCAGTGAAATTAGATCATCACCCCAAACTCTTCAGTAGCTTAACAGAAAACTGAGTTTGAGTAAAATGTGTGCTTGCAATCTTGACAGTCCCTTTTAAAGTAACATGTCCTGAATGAGATCCATTTCCTATAATTAACACCCTGCCTCCTGCCATCAGGAAATGGCTTGATAGTTAACTGAAACATGCTCATAAGGGCTCCATTAGGCTTCCTTCCTCCCTCAGGTCAGACCCCTCCTTTCTTTACTCAGCTCTTTTTCTGAAAACAAGTGTTTCTTTGTGTGATTTCTGTTTGGAAAGAAGCTATCCCAGGTGAGAGTTGGGCAAATCTGTCAATTTTGTTCTCTAAGTTTCCAGTTCTTCCAATCTTAAAATTTCCTTTCAGGGCTGGGCCACCCATGCGGCATGCTGAGGCTGTGCCCCAAGAGCATCCTGCCCACCCCTGCCAGTGACAGAGAAGTGGTGGCAGCAGTGGTGGAAGCTTCCGGCAAGATATCGCCAGAACCTACCACTGCCACTTCACAGGCACTGCCATGTGACTCAGGTAAGGGAGGCAGCAAGGTGGCAGTAGCAGCACCTTCCCGTTTCACTCTGAGCTGACACTGTCAGTACTTCTCTGAATGAAAACCCACCACAACCTTAGAGGAAGGAAGTGGTGAGATGCAGTTCAGATTAGAATTAAAACACTGAGCTGGCCTGCAACAGCAAGGGTAGGCAAACTTTTGGAGGCCCCAAGGGCTGCAGTGGTCGGTTTGGGGACCAAGCACACCTAGGAGCATGCACCCCCTCCCAACATATAGAAACAGAGACTAAGAGCTCCCTCTTTGATTTAGCTTTTAGTTCTTCTCCTTGACTTTTCTAGCAATGGAGCAAACAGACCCCCTTCTCCTCCTTTCTGAGCAGAGCCAGTGAGATGACTCTGCTCAGCCTTCCAGTCCACCTGGATTCTGATTTAAGTTGGAGATGTCCTAAAATTAACTCCATAATTGGAGAAAAACAGTCCAATTTGCATTTCTCATTGCCCTGTGCTATAGTAACATCACACAAGTATGCACTGAGCCACCAAAACAATGCAAAGACGCAAACCTGGTGTGACTGTGCATCTCTTGCATGCGTTTTACTGATGTGCACACATACACCCCTGTGGACTTGCATAAACTCAACACAAAATAGAATTTTAAGGACTTGTGCACACAATCCCATTGAGACTGCAACCTTGCAATATTTTCTTAAAGCCAAAATGCACATCAGTAGCATGGCAAGGCAGTGAGGGGAAGCACAAATGGAGGGACGTAGCTCAGTGGTAGACCATCTGCCTTGCATGCAGAAGGTCCCAGGTTCAGTCTCTGATGGCATCTCCAGGTAGGGCTGAGAAACACCCATGCCTGAAATCCTGGGAATGTTGCTGCTAGTCAGTGTAGATGATACTGAGTTAGATGGAACAATGGTATGGGACAGCTTCTGCACAGGAACATTACAAGCTTCAGGTTTTTTTTATTAAAATTAAAAGAACAAGGGGTAATTCCTAGGTAACCCTTCAGAAAGAAGAAATCTAGCAAGAAAATCAAGTGACATTTTTGGGAGCATTCTTAAAATATGCATACAAGCACACGCATGTTGTCATGTGAGCAGGGCTACCAGTGCAGCAATATCCTGAGGCAACACCTGGATTTGACAGAGTGTCAATAGCCTGGCAATATGTTGCCATGGGAACTAAATTGCTAGCCAATTGTTTCTGGATACAGGACCATTCCTATTTTTAATGTTCTGAAGCAGCTCTTCTCCTGCCATCTGAAAAGCAAAGGATGTCCTCCAGGGGTCTGTGCAAAGGCAAGACAGTCCAGACTGAGAATAGACACAGAGAGCAGAGTTTGGGGTTCTTAGGGTGCTGGTGGTCACCCTAAAGTCTGATATGGGAGCAGCAGACATTGGCTGGGTGCCTCCATCCCCTACACACA